TGCGTGGGGTCATCCCGATCACAGTGCCGAGCACGAAGACCCCACGAGAGACTCCCAGACATCCAAGGAAGAGGTTTGTGAGCGCGAATGGAGCACTCGGTGATGCGCGCAGGAGCGACACGATCAGCACGGCACGCCTTGGGCTTGCTGTGAGCAGCGCATCGCGTACTAATACAGCACGCGGTGATTTGTTGAGTTCATGCTCGACTCGATGGCGAGCGACGCGGCGCACGAGTTCGTAACCGATCAACGAGGCGCCACCAAATCCGATGAGCGCCGCGGGGAGACCGAACGCGACTCCAAAGGTGTATCCGGCGAGGATCGCTTGGGAGACTGTTGGGAGGCATCCGAGTCCGGCGAGGATGATGAACGCGGCGGTGTAGATGCTGAGTCCAAGAATCAGTTGTGTGGTTGATCCCGCGCTTCCGACGAGTGCGGCGCTGATGGGTTCCATGTTGAGTACGAGCATGACACCCGCGAAGCTTGGGAGCGTTGCCCACGCGACGCCGAGGATCATCGCGGGACCGAGTCTGCGGAGCATGGCGCAGCCGCCTTGGAGTCGATCGCGTCCCATCTTGTGGACGAAACCGATCGCGAAGATCGTCGCGAGTGCTGCGGCAATGAATGGTGCGCGCTGCGGCGAGAGAAGCTGCGCGCTGATCCATTCGCGCCAAGAGATCGGCATGATCTCGATGAGGGTCGGCATCGAGATGACCGCCGCGATGAGCGTGATGCTCCAGTAGAACCCCTGCATGATCAGGCGAGATCGGAGGGGTTTGGGTTGATCGGATTTTGTTGAAGCGCCGACCATCGCGCACGCCGCGGCACTCGCGAAAGAACTCGGACCACTGCACCCCTCGCAACGACACCCCTCGTCGCACCCGCTGTCTTCACTCGGAAGCACATGCAGATCGATCGCGACAGGTCGCTCCGGAGTGGGAGCGATCCGCTCTTTCTCTAATTGAGACTGTGTATCAATGACGGTCATCGGGGGATGGTAGACCCCTCAAGATGAGGTTTCTCAGTCGTTTGTGGATGGTTCTTCGTCGTGGCTCTCAGAAGCGGGATCCGCTGAATCGCTTGGCCCCATCGCTTTCTCGATCGCTTTGTTCGCCATGTTCCCCAAGAGCAGAAGCACGCCGATCATCAGTGCGATGCCGGCGATGACGAGCCATTTGGGTTTGTCGTACTCGTCCCAGCTCTCGATCTGCGATCCGATCCAGACAGCCGCGAAAGTCCGAGGCGCCATTCCGACGACGGTCGCGATGACATAGGGGACGAGCTTCACTCCGGACACAGCCATGAATCCGTTCATGAGCGAGAAGGGGGACGCAGGGGAGACGCGCAGGAGCATGAGGATCCCAGTAGCGCGCCAGAAGCCGTGTTTGATGAACGCGTCGCGGACGATCTCTGCCTTTGGGTGACGATGGAGTTCTTTCTCGACGCGTTTGCGAGCGATGAGCAGCGCGATGCAATATCCAATAATCGACGCGCCGGTGAATCCCGCGAGCGCGGCGGGGAAGCCGAATCCGATCCCGAACGCGAATCCCGCGAGGATCGCTTGGGAGTAGGTCGGGAGGAATCCGACGCCTGCGGTGATGATGAAGATCCCGATGTACATCGCGATCCCGATCGCGAGTGATCCGCCTCCTTCTTCGTTGCGCTGGAGGAGGATGTCGGACGCTTTGGACATGTTGCTCAGTAGCACGATCCCAGCAATCGCGGGCATCGCGGCCCAAAGGAATCCGAGGATCGCGGCGGGACCGAGGCGCGAGACGATCGCGCCGAAGGATTGGTTGGATTGATCGGTCGGATTGGTTGAATCGGGCTTTTCCATGTGCTCGATGGTATGTGACTACACTTGATTGATCCTGCGTGATGCAGGAGTTTCCATCTTCCGCCCGCGCCAAAGCGTTGGTTTTTAGGAGAGTTTCGGCATGATCCCGCACCCGCCGCCCCGTGAGAGTTCTTTAGGTTTTTTGTACCTGCCGCCGTTCCGCGTGCAGGGGTATTCCGTCGCGGGTGAAGCGACGGCGATCTCGATCCCTGAAATGGATGTCTGCTTCGATATGGGCAAAGCGTTCCGCGCGCACCTCGCTCCGAAGTACTGCGTGCTCTCGCACGGGCACATGGACCACATCGGCGGTCTCGCGTATTGGTGCTCGCAGCGGAACTTCCAGGGGATGGGGCCGGGGACGATTATCTGTGACAAGCGCATCGAGGACGATGTCCGTGAGATGATGAACGGCTTCCACAAACTCGAGCGACAGCAGACCCCCTACGAGCTCATCGCGATTGAAGCAGGCCAAGATTTCGAGATCAAGAACAACATCGTGCTGCGTCCGTTCCACACAGAGCACACCTGTCCGAGCATGGGATACTCGATCATCGAGAAGCGCACGAAGCTCAAACCAGAGCTCGCGGGACTCCCTCAAGAGAAAATCAAAGAACTGCGCCAACGCGGCGAGGAGATCGTCAACCACTTCGAGGTCCCGCTCGTGGCGTACACAGGGGACACGCTCCCAGGGCCGCACCTGCTGACTCCGGAAGTGATGAACGCGCAGATCATCATCAGCGAGTGCACATTCTTTGAGCCGGACCACACCAAACGCGCAAAGGTCGGGATGCACATGCATGTCAACGACATCGCGGAATGGCTCAAGGTTGCGCAGTGCGAGCACATGGTGATCTGTCATGTCTCGCGACGGACGCACATGGGACAGGCACGCAAGGCGCTGATGTCTGTCGCCGGGAAAGAACTCTGCGAGCGTGTGCACTTCCTGATGGATCATCGCACCAATCGCGAGCGCTACGAGGTGCAAGCGGAAGAAGCGCGGAAGATGGAAGAAGAACTCGCGAATCGCGACTGAGAGCGAATCGATTACTCGTCGACGCCCAGATCCTGCTTGGTGAACAGCGCATGGAACTCGACTCCAGCCCCCTCGATGTTCTCGCGTGCGCCCTCTTGTCGATCGATCACGCTGATGATCGCGGGGACTTTCGCGCCCAGTGACTTGAGCACTTCCACGGCTTCGAGCGCCTGACCTCCGGTCGTCGCGACGTCTTCTACAAAGACAACGACGTCACCCTCGTGGACATCGCCCTCGACCTGCTTCGCTGTGCCGTAGTCTTTCTTCGCGTTGCGGACGAAGATCGCGGGTTTCTTGGTATTCATCGAAGCGATGGTGACGAGCGGGATCCCTCCGAGTTCGGCGCCGGCGAGGCGTGTGATGGAGCCGTGGGTTTGCTCGATCTGGGAGATGACCTGACCAAATAAGGGTCCGAGCTCTTCGAGGATCTCCGGCTTGGTGGAGAACTTGTACTTGTCAAGGTAATACGAACTCGTGCGACCTGAGCGGAGGGTGAACTCTCCACGCAGGAGCGAAGCGTCGGCGATTCTCTGAGCGAGTGGGGAGATCGGTTTGGTCGAAGACTCTGAACTCATGAAGGTGCTCCGCTTTGATGGGGTGTTGATCGGTGGATGGTCCGGGAATTATGGGCGTAGGTGCATGAAAAACCTAGATTTGGACGGTTTTTTCTCGTGCAAGCGTCATAATTGCTTCCCCAGTGCGTTTGGGGCGTTGAGCCCCACTTGGGGATGAAGCATCCCCTCATGCACGCCGATATATGTTGTTCGGCCAGGGATGGTGAGGTCGATGGGTCGTGTGGCGGCATAGGTGCCGTAAACCCGTCAGGAACAAACATGAACGCTTGAAGGATTCGGGAGGATCTCCACTATGAAGTTGAATGCACGCCAAATCTGGTTGATCGCTGGTCTGTCCATGGGAATGCTCGGCTCGAGCACACTGGCGCAGGTCGCTCCGCCGCCGACAGAATCGAAGAAGGAAGAGCCCGCGGCTCAACCTGAAGCCGGAGCAGCACAACAGGAATCGAGTGGTGCTGCTGAACCAGCCGCGCAACCTGCTCAGCGTCCGACGATGAAGCACACCCCTGGCGCCAACCAGACGGGGACTGAGAATCTCCCAACCAGCACGCCGTATCCCAAGCTGCTCGCAAAGGACGAAAACGGGAAGATCATCCGTTTGACCGAACTCCCTGATATCCTCGCGCTGCGTTCCAACCCAACGGTTGGTCAGCGTTCGGTGACCGCGATCATGCCTGTGCTGTACGGGCGACGCGCTCGCTTTGAGCGCTTGGTTATCGATAACCTCGACCTCTACTGGATGGTGACTGATGGCCGTCTGGAAACAATGGATCTCAACGACATCAAGAAGATGTCCGAGGTTGCTGAGATGATCAAGCCGCTTGTTGGTCGCACGACGCTCTCTCAGGAACTCCGCAACCGCGGAATCCTGACTCGTACACAAGCGGGCATGAACGAGTACATCGTCAACGAGTACAAGCAAGGGATCACGACTGAGATTCAGTTCGAGTCCGAAGAACCACTCAGCGAGATCATGCGATTCATCCTGCAAGACTCGATCCACGAGACCATCCAGGCCTATCGCGCGATGCTCGCGGAACTCTCCTTCCAGGTCGCCGATCTGGTGAAAGAGACACAGCTCTCTTCATCCGCAGCAATCGCTCTTGCCGACTTGCAAGCACCACTCGCGGACAACAAGGAAGATCAGCAGGCACATCTCGCGAAGCTCGATGAAGCGTTCCGCGCTCTGAGTCTTGAAGAAGGCATCGAACTGCTGACCGCGATGCGAAATCAGCGGAAGAATCCGGATATCTCACCAGCGATCCAAGAGATCAATGTCATGCATGATCGCAAGGTCGATATGAGTGAGAAGGAAGGGTACTTCGACGGCAAGATCACTTACCAAGACGGCCGCGTGATTGATACGAAGAAAGCCAAAGAAGATTACGACAAAAAGCTTGATGAAGATGAAGCAAATATGGAACGCGCGAAGGAAGGTAAATCAGATGGTGCCGGTATTCCGATCGATGATTGATCCCTGAAGCGTCTTTGACCTGTAAATCATAAAGCACCCGGCTTTCATCGCCGGGTGTTTCTACATAGAAACAGTTGTTGATCAATCCGCGCGTGGACGCATCATCGGGAACGGGAGCACATCGCGGATCGTGCGCGAGTTGCTCAGCAGCATCACCAAACGATCAATCCCGAGTCCGAGACCTCCCGCTGGAGGCATCCCGACTTTGAGCGCGTTGATGAAGTCCTCGTCGAAGTTACGGAATGTGGATTCCTCGTCATCCACTCCCGCGAGTTGCTCGCGGAACTTCGCTTCCTGGATGTCTGGATCATTGAGTTCGGTGTACGCTGGACCGATCTCCATACCACCAATGAACAGGTCCCAACGCTCGGCGAGCGGAATCGTGTCATCCATCGTGTCCGCTTTGGGTCGCGTGAGTGGCGAGAGTGCCGCGGGGTAATCCAACACGAAGGTCGGCTTGCTCGGATCAATCGTCGCTTCCGCGACTTCCTCGAACAGTTCGTTGACCACGAAAATGTCTGCGATCGGGGTGCCGTCTTCGCTCTTGGTTTTGAATCCGCGCTTGGTTGCTTCCGCGCGAGCGCGATCCAGATCATCGAACTCGAATCCCAGCGCATTCTTGAAGAGTGCTTTGTAGGTCACACGCTCGAACGGTGCTTCATAGTTGATGTTCAGATCACCGAACGGCATCGAGTCGACGCTGCTTCCGGTCGCTTGTGCGGCGGTCTGCGCCATCTCACGCACCAAACCCTCCGCGATCTCGCGCATTGTTTCGTAGTTGCCAAACGCTTGGTAGAGCTCGAGACTCGTGAACTCAGGATTGTGCGACTTGTCGAGCCCCTCATTGCGAAAGTTTCGGCTGACCTCGAACACGCGAGGCATCCCGCCTACAAGCAATCGCTTGAGGTACAGCTCCGGCGCGATGCGGAGCGAGAGCGGGATGTCCAGCGCGTTCATGTGCGTGAAGAATGGACGCGCCGCGGCTCCTCCGGCTTGTGTCTGGAGCACAGGCGTATCGACCTCGACAAATCCGAGTCGATCGAGGTTGCTGCGGAGTGCTTTCATCAGCTCGCCGCGGAGCATGAAGACGCGTGTGGTTTCTGGATTGACCCACATATCCAGATAGCGCTGTCGATAGCGCATCTCCGTATCAGTGAGTCCAGCGTGTTTTTCTGGAGGAGGGACGAGACACTTACTCGCCGGGACGAGCGTATCGGCCCAGCAGGTGACCTCTCCAGTATTGGTCATCGTGAGCGGTCCCTCAGCGATAACGATGTCTCCGAGATCGAGCTTCTTCGCGAGTCCGAATCCTTGCTCGTCACAGTCACGCTTGGACACCGCGATCTGAAACGCGTCGCGCGAGTGATCGCGGAGGTTGAGCCAAACGAGTTTGCCGTTGTCGCGCGCGAGCACGACGCGTCCCGCGACTTTGACGCGTGGACGATCATCGACGAGTTCTGGGAGATCGCTCTCGCTGATATCGGGATTGTCGCGCTTCGCTTGCTTGCGCGCCTGGTTCGCGTCTTTGTTCGCTTGATCCGCGGCTTCGTCATACGCGCTGTGCGCCTGCTCAAGATTCATCAGATCATCGGTCCGCTGTCCATAGGGAAGCAGACCGAGCGCGGCGATGTCGTCGCGATTGGCGCGGCGCTGGAGCTCAAGGCGGTGCAAATCCTGCGATTCGGATTGCTCGGTATTCGGGGTTTCGGTCGTTTGGTCACTCATCGTTTCGATGGTATTCACGCAAGATCGAGTCGGGACGATCCAACGAGCGCGATGCTCGCTTCTGATCAGCTTTTCTGTCCCAGAGTCAGCTCGACGACGGCGGTCATCTTCTCATCACAGAGCGGCATCGTCCCTCCCAGATCGCTGATCAGATCCGCCATGGAGACGCCGGAGAACTGTTTGATGAGCATGTCGATCGCTTCATCGAGTTTGCGGTGCAGCGGACACAGCGCCGAGGTGTGGTTCTTGAGATCGAGCGGGCAGCTCTTGATTCGATTGATCGGATCGATCGCGTTGATCACATCGAGCATGCTGACCTCGCTCGCGGGACGCGAGAGCCGATATCCCCCACCAACGCCGCGCCGGCCTGTGACGATTTCCGAGCGTGCAAGGAGCTGGAGCACCTTTGCGAGGTAGTTCATCGGAACCTTCGTCATCTCCGCGAGTTCCGATGTGGACACCAAACCATCAGGGCGATATGCCAGACAGATGGTCGCACGCAATGCGTATTCAGTGGTTTGCGAGAGCAATCGGACCTCCAGGTATCCATTGACCTTACTGGGTCATCACCAAGACTACAAGTCTGCAACTATATTGGAATGATTCCGAGTTGCAGTGAAATTCTATCGAGATCCCTCAAAATTCTGACCAATCGGTCTGTTTTGGAATCGTTCAAGAACCTCCGACGACACTCCGCAGCGCATCGCGGGAATGGTCATCAAGCCCGTCCGCTGGGACGAGTTGGAGGAGATTGTCGATCACATCCTCCGTCGATACCTGATCCGCTTGTGCATTGAAGTTGAGCACGATGCGATGGCGCAGCACTGGATGCGCGATCGCGCGGATCGTCTCAACACTCACCAATCCATCCCCAACAAGCATCGCGTGCGCCTTAGCGGCGTGGACAAGCGCTTCGCTGGCGCGAGGACCAGCACCCCACGACACATAGTCGCGGACCATGTCTGGGATTCCCGATGCGTCCGACTCGTTGACGCGCGTGGCGCGGACCAGTCGCAGAGCGTATTTACATACATGCTCTGGGACTGGGGTGTGCTTGATGATCTTCTGCGCTTCGAGAATCCGATCCGGACCAACCACGGCATTCACTGGATCCTCGCCTTTGGTCGCGCTTCGTTTGATCACTTCCAGTTCCTCCGCTTCGCTCGGATAGCGCACGAGGATCTGGAACATGAATCGATCGAGCTGTGCTTCAGGGAGTGGGTAGGTCCCTTCCTGCTCGAGTGGGTTTTGCGTCGCGAGCACGAAGAACGGATCGGGGAGCGCGTGGCGCTGACCTCCAGCGGTGACCTGGCGCTCCTGCATCGCTTCGAGCAGCGCCGCTTGGGTCTTGGGAGGGGTTCGGTTAATTTCGTCGGCGAGGATCACGCTCGAGAAGATCGGGCCAGGAACGAAACGGAGCGATCGCTGTCCCGTCGCTTTGTCTTCTTCGATCACTTCGGTTCCTGTGATGTCTGAAGGCATGAGATCAGGTGTGAACTGGATGCGATTGAAATCAAGCTCCATCGCTTGCGCGATCGTGGAGATAACGAGTGTCTTTGCGAGTCCTGGAACGCCGACGAGCATCGCGTGTCCTCTGGAGAAGACCGCCATGAGGATCTGATCGATGACCTCGTCTTGTCCGACGATGACCTTGCTGATCTCTGATTTGAGCAGGTCGTAGCTCTCGCGGACCAGTGCGATCATCTCCTCGCCTGATCTGGAGCCTGATCTGGAGTTGGTTTCGTGGTTCTCGGACATATCGGTTCCTCCTTGGATCGGATCCTGACTCACATCATACCGATCGGACGCACCATCGGTGCTTGGATTGCATCGTTGGTCGGATTGGAAGTTCGAACAGTTCAAAAAAAGATGGCGGCTGCACGGGGTCTCGTCGCGCAGCCGCCGGGGAACGGTTCTGGAGTACAGAACCGGCGTCGTGGTCAAGTTGGTGAGCGTTCACATCTATATACGGACGCTCGATGTTGATGGTTGGGATTGTCCCTCCACCTCTTTCAACCGATCAGCAAAAAGCGGGTTGCAAAATTTCCGCTCCTGATCCAGAAGAAATTAGTCCTCTTCCAAACGCTCGATGAGACGCTCCATGAGCGAGGTCAAGCTGTCCATACGCTCTTCCAGAGCACCTTCGAGCTCTTCAAGTCGGTCTTCAAGCTCCGCCATCCGATCATTGAGTTCTGTTTCAATCTCAGGCATCGCGGCATGAAGCTTGTCCTCGAGTTCATGGATGTGATTCTGGAGTCCTTCCGCGTGACGCTTGAGCAAGAGCTGCCCATCCTTGTATTCCATCGTCAGACGCTCGGCATTCCGCATCGCTTCCTCAGCTTTCCGCTGCATCTGCTCAGCGAAGAAGCGACGCTCTGCACGCTGAGCTTGATCCTCCGCTTGGACATGCAACTCGATCATGCCGTCCATGTCGCCTTCGTGGAATCGAGACCAGAGGTTTTCATGGAGTGATTCGCGGATCTGCTCTTCGATCTCGCGAAGCTTACTTTCTTCGATGCCCTCTGCACGGAGCGCTTCGATGATCTTGTCGTGAGTCTTGCGTTGTGTTTCTTTGCTGAAGAACTCTGCATTCCCTGGGAATGCGAAGTTCCCTTGATCATCACGCGTGACCCAAGTACCACCGACTCGTGGAGCAGAGGCATGCCCCAGCGCCTGCGCGTCGTAAGGGAGCAGCTTGGTATTAATCTTCATCTTCTCACCCTTGCGGAGCAAGACGATTTTGATTTCATCTCCTGGATCTTTCTTGGACAACAGCTTGGTCAATCCCGATGGGGAGAGACCGTCGGAGCCGTTGATGGAGATGATGATGTCCTTGTCTTTGATCCCGGCTTTGTCGGCGCTGAGTCCCTTGATGACGCGCTCGACGAGGATCGCATCACCTGTAATTCCGAGGTGCTCGCGGAGCGAGTCGCTCGGCTCATCGGTGTAGATCCCGAGCATGACCTTGGGGTGTTCTTTCACCTCGGCGACGAATTGAGCGTTGCCCATGCCTTGTCCGACCCATTGCTGAATATTGCCATGATCGTCTTTGGCCACGAAGATCGAGTGGTTCCCAGTATCATCGCCGAACCACACATTGTGGTTGCGATCAAGATTGAACTCGTGGAGTACTTTGCCGTCTTCAGAGAGGATGATGACGACATTGTCTTTGTGTTTGAGTTGATTCTCAGGAACTTCTTTGCCGTCGAGTTTGATGATGAACTCGCCGCCGTCCATTTTGAGCTCGTAGGTGTGCTCTCCGTCAGCGACCTTCTCGACCCAAACAGTATGCTCGACATGCTCTTTCTCTTCATGCGGATGATCGACGCTCTCGACGACAAAGCCGTCAGCCGATGCGATCGCCAGTCCCGAGAGTCCGGCGAGCAGTGCGATGGTCAGTGGTGTTCGTTTCATTGGGATGCCTCCGTGATGGCCATATGCCGTGGTAAGTACTGGTTCTGGTTCATCCCAAGCAAGTGCGACTCGGGACGCTTACTCTGATGCGCGTGATTCGTAAATCCGTCACGGCATCGAGGAAATTCATCGATTTAGAACGCGCTGCCTCGCTTGAGGGTCTTGAGATCAACAGGGACCACAACAGGGTTTCCGAACTCGTCCACCGCTTCGCGGAACGCTTGGTTTAGGACTCTCCGCTCGATGACCTGACGCAGGTAGATGACCTCGACAGTCCCATCCACGAGCGGGCGTGTCTCGACCACCACATGGTCCGGCATCTCCCCCACCACCTTGCCGTCCGCTTGTCCGGCTTGCAGGTACTGGTTGAACGCTTGCTCAGGATCTGCCGCATTGAGTGGTACCATGCTCCCTGTTTGTGGATTGGTTCCGAGCGGGTTGTTTGTTTGGTTCATCGAGAAGGTGCCTGTAAACCAGCCGAGCATCAGGACGGCGGCGACGGCCCAACCACCCCAACGAGCCGCGGCGTTGACGCGCGACTCGAACACGATCGGAGATCCCGATCCTCCAGGGAGATTCACACCATCAGCGATGCTTGATGCCGCGTGCATGACCTCGCACAGCGCTTCATGCTCACGCTGCGCATCGCTCAGGTCGTTCCAGACCTCTGCATCGGTCGATGCGAGGATACGGAACGAGGACCAGTCCTCGGCGCTCGCGGAGCCGTCGATCACGCGCGAGATCAGCAGATCACGCAGATGTGCGGAGTTCTCGCTCTTCCATTCGCTGGATGGGTTGTTGGTGTTGTCATTGTTCGTATCCATCAAGCACCTCCGACGCGCACGGCGCGTGTGTCTTGTGATTGCTTTGCTTCGAGCTGCTTGGATTGAAGGTCCAGCGTTTCTCGGAGCATTCGTCTTCCTCGCGCGATGCGCGTCTCAACGGTTGTTTCTGGGAGCGAGAGCACCTCGGCGATCTGCTTGTAGCTCATCGACTGCTGACAGCGCATGAGCACGGGCTCCCTGTATTTCTCCGGAAGACTCAGCGCCGCGTCGAGCACGCGCTTCGCGTCTTCCGAGAGCTGCATCGATCCGATCGAGTCGGATTCGTTCTTTCCTCGACCGACGAGCCGGAGCATGCCGGCGCGTTTGCGCGATGCCTTGCGTCCCTGCTCGCGAGCGATGTTGATCGTCACGGTTCTGAGCCAAGGCTTGAACAGCGCCGGATCACGCACCTCGTGCACTTTCCGGCAGACCTGGAGCGCGACGATCTGAAGTAAGTCCTCCAGATCCGCTTCGCGGGGTTTGTGCGCCATCAGGATCACCGCGACCCATCGGCGCACGCCGACCCAGACCTGGGACAGCGCCTCGGCGTGCCCCTCGATCGCTTGCTCGATCGGTAGTGTCTGTTCCCATCGTTCACTCAAGACCCGGATCCCCTGCTCATTCGTCTGGCTTGATTCCTTCAACTGCTTGTCCACAACACGGATGCGCCGCTCTGGAGCTCCTGTCACGATCTGGACGCATTGGGACCACTATTCGTCAGATTTGCACTTCGCAAATGCTTGTGATGCGTGCAGTTCCCATAAGTATTACTGGTCAGATGCCCCCTAGAGTTGCACGCTCATGAGCGACGACGCATCACAATCCCGATTTCCGGCTCGAAACAGCGGTTCTCAAGCTTCTCAGCTGCCTGGGAGGATCGAGCACGATCCGCACACGATGTCGCTCGGAGATCACCTCGAGGACCTCCGTAAGCGGATTTTCTTCGCGCTCATCGGGATCATCCCGATCTTTGTGATCGCGTTCGCATCGGGACGCTACTTATTGGACCTGCTGATCCGTCCCGCTCGGCGCAAGCTTCTCGACGGCGGACAAGGCTCATCGCTGCTCGCGACCGGACCCTTTGAGACCTTCGGGACTGTCGTGCACCTCGCGGTGGTCGTGACGCTGCTGCTGGGATCACCTTGGATTCTGTACCATTTGTGGAAGTTTGTGTCGCCAGGACTCTACAAGCACGAGCGGCGCGTGGTGCATCTGCTGATCCCGTTCTCTGGACTGCTGACTGTGCTCAGTATTCTGTTTTTGTACTTTGTGATCCTACCTGTGATACTCGCGTTCTTTATCGGATACGCGTCTCAGGTTTCTGGTCAGGATGTTGTCCCAACAGCGCCGCTCGCGGAGGGGATCGTGCTCCCAACGATTCCTGTACTCGAAGCGGATCCAGTCTCGCCGGCTCTAGGGAGCACATGGATCAATGAATCGATGATGCAGCAGCGTGTCGTCATCGGGATCGATCCGAGTGATCAATCTCCGATCATCCGCGCGATCCAGCTCACGACGGATATCGGGATCATCCAGCAGTATCGCATCAGCGAGTACATCAAGACGGTGCTCAACATGGGACTCGCGTTCGGGATCGCGTTCCAGACGCCTGTCGTCGTGGTGATGCTCGGATGGGTCGGCATCCTCGATCCCTACGCGATGGGACGCTTCCGCAAGCACGCGATCGCGATCTGCGCGATCCTCGGCGCGTTCCTGACGCCTGCGGATCCGCTCTCGATGATCCTGCTCGCGGGTCCGTTGTACGCGTTGTACGAGCTCGGCCTGTTCATTGTCAAGGTACTCCCCTTGTCGAAAGTCATCGGCGATGTCCGCGAGGATCAGGACCAAGACGCGATCACGCCTCCACATGAGAGATAGATCAGCAGACATGAGCACGACTGAATCGACTCCAACTGAACTGGATCTGCGGATGATGCGCCGAGCGTTGGAGCTCGCGGATCAAGCGCAGCAGATTGGAGAGGTCCCAGTCGGAGCGGTGGTCTACGAAACAGACACCGGAACCATCCTCGGCGAGGGATCCAACACACGCGAGTGTGACAAGAACCCTTCAGGACACGCGGAGTTCACCGCGATCCTCAACGCGTGCAAATCGATCGACGACTGGCGCCTGAATCACTGCACGCTCGTGGTTACGCTTGAGCCGTGTCCGATGTGTGCTGGATTGATTGTCAACGCGCGTGTGGGACGAGTGATCTATGGCGCGGATGATCCCAAAGCGGGAGCCGTGCGTTCGCTGTACAACCTCTGCGATGACGAGCGTCTGAACCATCGCTCAGACATCATCGCCGGAGTCATGGCTCAGGAATCCTCCGAAGTGCTCAAAGCGTTCTTCAAGCGTCTGAGGTAGGTTGGAGGGGACGCACGCGATCAGGACTGACCTATCTGGATCATCGAAGATACCTTCAGATTCCAGATGGATCACTCCATTGGGTTATCCCACAGTTGCCCACACTCATGTGGAGTGCTCACACGATCTTGACACTTATGCTTCTTGGAAGTCTCTTCTCTTCACCCTCAATTGAATAAGAATTCAGTGGTGGTGGTAATTAGAGCGCCCAAATAGTGAATAAGCAGCGTTCGCTACGCTTTAAGACCAGCCTACTAATGGGTTTACGGACAAATAAACGGATCTCAGAAGCTGTCGGTTGTCTGTCAACAATTGGACATAGCGCTCGATCAATCTGAGCCTGCTTGGAGTGGCGCTGTGACAATTGTGAAGATCACAGCGCGCATCGGAGCGCAATTCCGCGCTTATCCACGGCTTATCCCCAGAGTTGGTGACAATTGAAAGTGCGTTTATGAGCCGGAACCGACACGCAGTCGTGACTCGATCGCGAGCACATCGCTGTGGAGCGATTCGTCATCTTTGGATTTCGAAGTGATCGTGCGCACGGCATGCATGACCGTGGTGTGGTCGCGTCCCCCAAAGTGGGCACCGACTTCTTCCAAGGAATGCCGCGTGTATTTGCGTGAGAGGTACATCCCGACCTGTCGTGGGAGCGCGATGGACTTGTGACGGCGCTTGCCGAGGATCTCTGTGCGTTTGACGGAGTAGTACCCTGAAATTTCGGAGATGATCCGATCGATTGTGGGACCCGTGCCTTGGGCGCTCACAGCCGCGGCGAACTCTTCTCCGAGTGCATCCCGCGCCATATCGAGATCGATGTCGCGTTTCTCGACATTCGCGTAGATCTGGAGCTTGGTGATCGCGCCCTCGAGTTCGCGGATGTTGGTGTCGATGTAGTGCGCGATCTCCGTCACGACGGGCTCTGGGAGCTTGATTCCGCGAGCATCTGCTTTGCGTTTGAGGATCTCGATCCGAGTCTCGAATCCCGGCTTCTCGACCTTCGCGACCAATCCCCACATGAATCGTGAGACCAGTCGTTCTTCCAGATCAGGGATCTCCTCAGGAGGCGCATCGGACGATAAGATGATCTGTTTGTTCGCTTGGTACAGCGCGTTGAAGGTGTGGAAGAACTCTTCCTGCGTGCGATCGCGCTTCGCGAGGAAGTGGATGTCGTCGATGACGAGCAGGTCCACATCGCGGAAGGTGTGCCGGAATTCGGCCATCTTCCCAGACTGCACAGCACTCATGAACTGGGTCATGAATCCATCGCACGATACATAGTGTAGATTGATCCCAGGATTCTCTTGCGTGATGCGTAAGCAGATCGCTTGGAGCAGGTGGGTCTTTCCCAGTCCGACTCCGCCGTGGATGAAGAGTGGGTTGTACGCGAATCCTGGGTTTTCAGCGACAGCGACGGACGCGGCATGCGCGAGTCGGTTGTTGGGTCCGATGACAAACTCGTTGAAGCCGTAATCCGGATTGATCGGGAGCGCGCCGCTCGAATCGAGTCTTGAGCGTTCGGAGCTCGCGTGGACGATCGGGGTCGCGCCGAGGCTTTGCGAGTCTTTGAGCTCTTGATCGGAGAGTCCTGCTTCATCAGACCAGATCGACGATCCGCTCGGTGCTGCTGCAGGAGTTGGAGCCGCGGCTTTTTTGGTCTCGGCGCGTTTGGTAGTGGTGATCGGGGATTCCCACTCATCGTTTGGGCCGAGGAATCGGATCGCGAGGAGCTGTCCTGTGGTTTCTCCCAGCGCATCGTTGAACGCTTCGAGACAGGTGCGTCGCAGATAATCGCGGTGCATATCGCTCTGAGCGCGTACGCCGAAGGATCCCGACGCGACCCCGAGCGGTTCGAGTTCCTCGAACCACTTGCGCGTGTGCTCTGGATGATTCAGCTTCACCTTGACAAGCACATCGTCGAGAACGCTGCGGTCATGCTGACGGTCCTGGATTCCCATCGTGGGTAAAGTCCTTACTGTGCGCTGCGAGTTGCTGTTGCCCCGCCGGGATGTATGTGTTGCTCTTCGTAAAGAAGTCCAAACGCATAAAAACCGGCAACCCCTACCGTACTAAGGACAGCATGGATTTGTCAACCTTCTCGTACAAAGACGGATGCGGTTGATGAAGAAATTTACCAAAGGACACACTGCGGCTTCTCTGGAGGCATCATGTTGACTCTGCTCCGAAAGCACATGCGCCAAGATTGAACGATGACGCTATTGTGTGTGTATGCCTGACCTTGGAGTCCGACTCGCGAACATGAATCCTGAGGAGCGTGCTCAACTTATCGAGCGTGCCGCTGATGCACTGGTGAAGCATGAGTGCGTCGTGCTCCCTACAGACACGCTGTACGGCTTGTTCACGCGCGCCGATGAGCAAGGATCTCAACTCCTGGATCAAATCACAGGAAATCCAGAAGTCTTGGATGATCCAAAGATGACACTGCATCTTGCGGATCTTGAACAAATCATCGAACATCTAGTGCTTGATTCACCGACGACCAAACGCTTGGTGCACACACTCCTGCCGGGTCCGACTCGCATCGTCATCGAGCAGACGAACGATGCGATTGATCGTGTCTGTGAAGCGCTGTCGATCCCACGCGGCATCATCGATGATGGTCGTCACATCGCGCTTCGGATTCCCGATCATCCCACATGTCGACAAATCTTGCGCCACACAGGTATTGCGTGCGTCGCGCGCCGTTTGGGGGCCGCGGTTTGGGCGCAGGGAGAAGATCCTGGAACAGACATCAGCGCCGTTCCCGATAGTCCGAGCGACACACAAGCGGAATTCCCGACACTCGTGGTCGATGATGGACAGACGCTGCATCAGCAACATTCCACGACAGTTCGACTGACTATGGACGGGCGGATCGATGTTTCATCGAGCGGCGTGCTGAGCGAACGCGAGGTGCTCTCGAATCTTGAGCGGCGCATCCTGTTTGTGTGCACTGGAAACACTTGCCGGAGTCCGATGGCAGAAGTCATCGCGCGGGATCTGGTCGAGAAACAGAAACCAAGCGGGATCACAACGATCATCCAGAGCGCCGGCGTCGCGGCTGGCAGCGGCATGGGCGCGACACGAGAAGCCATCGAGGTCGTTCACGCGATGGGTCTGGACCTGACTACACACCAGTCCAAACCCATCACACTTGAGATGATCGATCAAGCGGAGGTCATTTACACGATGACCCCAACGCACGCGCAAGCCGTGATGACCATGGCTCCGAACTCAGTACACAAAGTCTTTGTCCTCGACGAGCACGAGGGGGTTCCCGATCCGATCGGGCAAGGCATCGAAGTTTACCAACACACCGCAGATCGACTCAAAGAGCTGATCGAGCGCCGATTCGAGGAAATCAACGCATGAGCACGCAGTACAAGATCGCGATCGGTTCGGACCATCGAGGGAACTCAGCCGCGAACCAGATCCTCGAGACGATCAAAAACCTCGGACACGACGCGTGGATCGTTGGGGACTGTGACGAGCAGCCTTGCGATTACCCTGAAAAAGCATGGCAGGTCGGTCACGAAGTCACCTCAGGGAAAGCGGATCGTGGTGTGCTGATTTGCGGCACAGGGATTGGGATGTCCATCGCCGCCAACAAGATCGATGGATTGCGTGCGGCGTTGTGTCATGATGAACTGACCGCACAACTCTCACGCTCGCACAATGATGCGAACATCCTGTGTCTTTCCGCGGATTTGCTCGGCGCGAGACTGATGGACAAAATCATCGAGGTCTGGATCAAAACACCGTTCGATGGAGGTCGCCACGAACGACGCGTTAACAAGATCGGGATGATCGAGCAGGGCGCGAATCCTTCTGAAGCACCTGTGTAAGCTACTCAGTCCTGATCAAAACACTGACCTCTCCAAACCCCACCACCACCACGCCGTCCGCGGCTTGTGTGATGGTTGGTTGTCGCTGAATCGCGCTGGGGAGTTTGAGCTCGATCTGATCCATGATCCGCGCGTTTTCAAGACTGAACATGCTGATCGGGATGGTCATCAATCGTTCATTATCAGTATCGGCGCGTCCTACGAGGATAACCGAGTCGGTGCCCCACGCGCCATCAACATACGGCCGCATCGCGGGTTCGGGATCGAGTCCGAGCGTCTGTCCTGAGGGGTCGAAAATCCCGATACCGCCTGAGGCAACGATTGCGAGATGTTCAGCGCGAGCTTGCACATCGACCCAGCCGCGTTCGTAGACGCGTCCGAGCGTGTGGAATGAATCACTGGGGATTTTGCCGTCGATTAGACCGATTGGCCAAAGGTTGACATACTCGTCGAGCACTATCAGCGAATCGTTGATGATCCACGCGGCGTTGGTGTTCAACAGGTTGTCGTTGCGGATGACCCAATCTAGTGTGCCGGTCCGTGTCGAGAGCGAGAGCACACGCTGCGAGGTGCCGACGATCAGACTCCCAGATGGCGCGACGCGGACCCAGCGTGGGGTCGAGGTCTGCGCATCCATCATCTGGATGATCTGTCCTGTGCGCGCATCGATCGACGCGATGCGAGGAGAGCGGAGCAGGACCTCGCCGTGCTCAGGTGCGTTGTCGATGTGCGACATCCCGACGACACCCAACACTCCTGACGACAGATCGACATCATGCACGCGATTGATGGGGAGATCTTCAGTCCAGAGCACCTGTCCAGTGAGCAGATCAATCGCGCCGGCGCGTCCGATCCGATCCACCAGCGCAAGCACCGAACCATCCGAGGTACTGAGCATCTGGAACAACGGCACTACACCTTCGGTGGGTGATGTGAACTGTCCATCAATCTGTGCCGCACGATCGGGGACGCGTGTCGATCCTTCGAACAGGCGCTGTCCCATATTCTCAAGTTTCCAGCGTGTCTGACCTGTTGTAGTTTCGATTGATTCGATCCATCCGCCATCGGGATCATCGCCATCTGGCGCCCAGAACAGGATCGTCTGGAACTCGTTGTGCACGACGACGATTGGTGGATGCACTCCGGGAGCGCGCCGAGTCCAGAGCTGCTCAGGATTGGTCTGATTGAATCGGATCATGCGGACCTGCGCCAGTTGTGGCGCGAAGAACACCATCGTTTCAAAGTCGCTCCGGATAGGAGATTTCACTGGAGAGCCGGTCAGCAGGATCGGAGATTCATCGAGCACGAGCGTGCTCCCCAGCGCCGGCGCGAGTTGTCCAGAGGAGAGACCGATCGAGAGCGATCCCGCATCGATCGTTTGTCCTTGAACTGTGATTGTTATGTCTGGATAGGTGCTTGAGAGCCGAGCCGCGACGCGTGATGCTTCGCTCTGGCGCTGCGATCCGATCAATCCATCGACGAGTGAGGATGCGAGCGCGTCGACGGTTGACTTCTCGATCCGAACATTGAGCGAGTTCAGTGCTTCGATCGAATCCATCCCGGACTGTGCCGCGCGAACAGACGCAGGAGCGTTGTCCGATTGCAACCAACGCTGAGCGGCGTTTGACCACGCGCTCGGAGTGCTGGGCGCCCAAGGATACATCCGCGCGATGCGCTCGAAGGATTCAGGAGATGAAGTCGGCGCCTGCGCCTGAAGATCCGCGAGCGCGAGCTCGTCGAATACTCGGCACGCGCCACGGCCGTGCTCCGCGACGATCTGATTCAACTGGTTCGTGACCTCGATGTCGGCGCGGATCGCGAGGCCGTTGCCTTGCCACATCCCTGAGGAGATCGCGTCGTTCTGGAGCACATCGTGATACACGCGCACGGCTTCGTCGATCTCACCCAACGCGCTGCGCCAGGCGCCGGTCACCATCTGTTGCGCGAGTGTTTGTCCCTTCGTCCGCGCGACACGCTGCGAACGATCGAGCAGGTCCTCGCGGATCTGGTTCGAGATCACGGCGAATCCCGTTCGCGCCGGATCATCCGGAAGACCGATCATGTCGATCAGAATCTGGAAGAGCCGTTCGCGTGCCTCGCGTTGTGGTTCGGAGGGTGCAGTGCGCAGCATCTTGATTGATTGGTCGATCGCCGGGATGATCTGATCGAGGTTCCCAGATCGGTACGCAAGATCCGCGAGCGTGATCGACGCGTGCGTGTCATTGTGCGACTGGATGCGTTCGCTGAGCAGCTGCTGCGCGATGTCCCACGAGAGGTAACTGAACACCTCGTTCTCGTCCGCGATCACGACCTGTCCATCGAGCGCGACGAGGTTCCCTGAGTGTTCGAGCAAGACCGAATCGCGCACACCTGTTCGTGTACTGTCCAAAAGACTCAATCCATCCTGGACTGGGACCATCAGCGTTGATCCGGAACTGGTCACGCGTCCGACAATAGCGGAGCGCCCATCACCTGTCGGGGTGATCAACTGCGGACGATTGACACCAAACTGATCGAACGAGTGCATCGTGATTGTGGTCTTGTTGATACACGCGAGCTGGGTTGGTGTTTCCAGCAGGTAGAGTCCTTGTCCGGTGTTCATCGCACGCGCCGACCCCGTGCGTTCTCCGGTGCGTTTGTTGAATCGGTCGATGCGTGTTCCCGCGACATCGAGGATGTAGACTTCATCCCCACGAACGATTGGTGTGGACACAGTCCAGGGCTCGCGTTCGTAGCGCGCGTAGATATCTGAAGTCGGCATCGTCCGCGCCCATAAGACCTCGCCGGTCGGTGTTTCCACGGCACAGACCAGCCCGATCATGTCGGTCCAGTACACTACGCCATCATCAAGCATCCCTGAGTGGGAGATCTGTCCGATCTGTTGGAACGGGAGCGATCCGGCGCTCCCGATCTCGCGTGTCCATTGGTGGTTGAAGTTTCGTCGATCAATACCAACGAGCGAGAGCGCAACAAGGCGCTCCCTTCGCAGGTTCTTGCGTGCGGCGAGGATGAGCGTGTCACCATCGACAATGATCGATCCTCGGACTGTGGATCCAGCGAGATCCGGATCGATCTCCTCGATCGTCGTCGATTTGAGAATCGCGCCGCTCTGGAGATCGATCGCGAGGATCCGATTATCTCCAGTGCGTCCACCAGTCCGCGCCAATCCCGCAGCGACATATACAGTCCCATCCGCGATCGTCACGCTCGACAGGTCTTCGACAGTCCGCGCAATCCGCGAGCGCACGCCCCGGCTCGTTCGGTCTTGTTCTTCGGTATCCAGCAAGGTCGTGGTCACGCGCCATCTCGGACGCAGCGTGAATCGATCGAAGCATGAGATCGTCACGCCGTCGTTGGTGATGAGTGAGTCATCCATCACGACAGGCATCGACCAAGGCTTGGGTTGGACGACCGCGCCTGAAGCGGGCGCCTCATCAATCCCGATCAACTCGTCACTCGTTGGAGGAGGCGTCAAAAACGAACGAGCGATCGGTTTGGGAACCAATCCCTGCAATCGGTATTCATCCGCATCAGCATCGATCGGCGACCAACGGAGCGAGGTGATTTCACGATCAGTTTTTTCAGGTGGCGCGAACGGCGAGGTATCGCGGACTTCTTCACCGGCGAGTTCAGACCATGATCGGAGGAGTTCGCTCGAACGCGAACTCGGAGTGGCGCGATTGATCGTGCGCGCCAGTTTCATCGCTCGTCGTGCATACTCCGCAGCATCGGGATGATCGAGCAGCCGTTCAAGCTCACGAATCGAGCTCGTGAATCGAGCAGATTCGAGCAGCACCTGCGCATGATTCAGTGACGCGTCGCATCCAGGCGCTGTGAGCCAATACATCGAGCGAGCGGATCTCCAGTCGCCGTCTTCATTGAGTCGTTGTGCTTTGGGGGTGTTGATGCGTCGGTACGATTCGAGCAACTCCGCATCGGATGCAAGCACTGAGTGGATGCGATGGCGCACTGGGATCGAGACGCCGAGGTCGTTGCCGTCATCGATCAAACGATCTCCAGAATCGATGATGAGCTGCGACAACGAACGCGCGGCTTCCGCATGACTCCCCTGCGCGCTCAGCGCCAGCGCTCGCTCGATGGTCTCCAGTGCAACAGGAGCATCCGCGAGATAGACCGGATTTGTCGGCGCTGCTTGCGGGACCACTTGTGCGTATGACGGGGCCGCAGCGAGGAAGCACGCGAGACCAAGCACGCTCGTCAATAGCATTTGAGCGGATTTTGGATTGTTCTTGGTCGCTTTCAAGTGCTCTCCATCAATGGTCTGAACGCACAACTTCCGAGAATATCGCGTCTGGACCCTCTCTCAATGTACCACCTGATCGGGTAGCAGGTTTGGCCCAATTGCGACAAGACCGAGAACTTTCACGCGTTGGGTTCTTTGATCTACTCAAGAATATTCACGCGATTTGGGTCGATCTTCTCTCTTATGAACAAGCGTGCACCCATCGCGCCAGCGGCTACTTCGGCTCTGATCGCTCCATTTACCAATCGATCGTACAGAGTCATCGTGCTGATCGCACTCATCGCTGTGATGTCGATGGTGGATCTCTACCTTACGATCCTCTATGTCACACACACTGGGATGAACGAGGTCAATCCGCTCGCGCGAGCGATGATGGAGTATCAATCCCCCGCTGTTCTGGGAATCTGGAAGATTGCGACTGTGCTGCTCGGAGTCGGGATTCTCGCGATCATCCGCACCAAACGCAGCGCCGAGCTGGGCGCCTGGATCGGATGCATGATCCTTGCTCTGCTCATGTCGCATTGGGTTTCGTACATCAACGAGCACGCACGGATCTCGCAGGATCCGATGTATACCCAAGCACTCGCGGGTCCGAACTTCGTCCATATGCCGACCGGGATGGGACGATCTGGGATCGTGATCCCATGATCCTGCATCATTGAGTCGATCCGGATCCGAGCGAACATCTCTCAGCGTGCATACGCTCGGATATGCGTACAGCCGCCCAAACCACGATATTGATCGTTTTCGCACTCGTGTCATCTGCGATGATCGGATGCTCTTCAGTCTCAGCACCACGCTTTGAAACACTCGGCGTGCGCGAGGTCGAGCAAACCGACACTCGAGCCGTCTACGCATTCAAGGTCAAAGCAACCAACCCCAACAAAGAACCGATCCCGCTCAGAGAGATCTCTTACAGCGTTTCGCTTGGAGAGGGCTTCACATTTTCAGGCGTGCGTAGCCCTGAAACCACGCTCCACACCTACGGCGAGCACATCTTTGAACTCCCAGCAGTCTTCGAGATCACGCCTTCGAATCGAACTGGGTTGCTTGATTACAGACTCAACGGATCCGCGAAGTACCTCAAGCCAGGCAAGCTCGCCGAGGTGATGTTCGAGTCCAAACTCAGCGTCCCCAAAGCGCCATTCACGCTGCGTGGACAACTCAACTTCGACGAACCTTCCAACTGATCCTGAATCGTCGGATCAACCCACAACCAAACAATCACGATCGTTCTGACTGATGATGGTGTCGATCTTCGGGCAGTGCTCCTGAAGCTGTGCTTCCAGTCTTGGGAGGTATCCGCGTTCAGTATTCGTGTGTCCCGCGAGCAGGATCGAGACCCCGGCTTGCCGTGCTGCCATGACCTCGTGGTGAGTCATCTCGCCGGTGATAAACACATCGCACCCCTCACGCCGCGCCAGATCCAAGAGCGAAGCGCCCGATCCAGGAACCACGCCGACTGTGCGGAAGGGACGATCATCCCCAGCGAGCGCGTAGCGCATGCGTGAGCGACCCAGGTGTCCCTTGAGACGATCAATCAGATCTCCCATAGATGCCGGCTGATCGAGCGTCAATCGCCGTCCCGATCCCACGCGCCGGAGCGGTTCAGGAACGAGCTCCACAATGTCGTACGCCGGCTCTTCGTAGGGATGCAGGTGCTTGAGTGTTTCAATCACGAGCGGCAGCGCGCGCCGAGCGCACACCATTTCTAGACGATCCTCATCGACGCGTGAGAGTGAACCCTTGGTCCCGATCGTTGGATTGGAGTCCTCGCCTGGGATGAAAGTGCCTTGTCCCGGCGTGGTGAATGAACAGAGCTTGTAGTTTCCTAATCCACCAGCGCCGGCTGTTCCAAGCGCGCTGCGGACATGATCAACCTGCGCCTTGGGGACAAAGGTAATCACCTTCACTTCTCGGCTTGGATCCCCCCCACTCGCTGGAGACAGCGCCCGGCAGTCGCCTGCGATCACTCCCTCGACGGCTTCGCCTCGTGGAGAGCCCAAACCTTCGCAGAGCCAATCCGTGATCCCGCCTGGAGTCGCGTCCAGCGCTGTGTGCGGCGAGTAGATCGCGATCCCCGCTTCCGCAGCTCCTCGGATAATCCGCTGCGTGTGATTCTCATCCGTGAGACGCTCAAGCGGATTCCAGATCGGAGGGTGGTACGCGACAATCGCGCCAGCTTTTTTACTCAGCGCCTCTTCGAGGACATCCTCAGTCAGGTCAATGGTCAGGAGCACCGGACCGCCCATCGCTCGATCCGCGACGCCGAGGTGCAATCCAACCTTGTCCCACGACTCGGCGTACTTCAGCGGCGCAATCCGCTCCATCGCATCCATCAGATCTTGAACAATCATCACGAACCTCCCAACAAATCGTAGCGCATCGAAGATTGTCGATGAGTGTACTACGCTTGGATGATGTCCGATGTTCTCACGATCCATACCTACGCGAAGATCAACCTGATCCTCAGGGTTTCGCCGCCTACTTCTGAAGGCATGCACCCGATCGGCTCGTGGATGCACTCGATCGATCTCTCGGACATAATCAGCATCGAACGGATCGAGGATTCCGCATCAGAGTTTGATATCCGCTGGTCAGATGGGGAATCGGTCCAATGGGATATCGAATCGGATCTGGTCTACAGAGCACACACAATCTTTGAGCAGCACTCTGGTGAACGCTTTCCTGTCCGAGTGCGTGTCCAGAAACACATCCCGGCTGGAGGTGGATTGGGTGGGGGATCGTCCAACGCTGCGGGAGTTCTCATGGCGCTCAATGAACTGAGCGGCTCAAGATTCTCAGAACAACAACTCCAGGAGATGGCGCACGAGATTGGTTCTGACATCCCGTACTTCATCGATCTGGAATCGTTCAACACGCGCAAGCCGGCACGGCCAGCAATCGTGTCAGGGATCGGAGATCACATCGAGCGGACTCAGCGAGTTAAATCCGGCATCACGCTGCTGATCCCTAACTTCGGATGTCCGACGGGAATGGTCTATCGAGCCTTTGATGATCGATCCGATCACGCACCGTTCGATCTTTCAGCGATTCAGCAAGCCGCGACCTCTGGGAATCTTGAAGCGAGTTCCATCATCAATGACCTTCAAGAGCCGGCTACCAATGTTGTCCCGGAACTCAAAGCGATCATGCAGCGTTTGCAATCGATCGGTGTGCATCCGCACCTCTCCGGATCGGGATCAACAATGTTTGTGATCGGAGCGATGGATGCGATCACTCGATCGCGCATCGGTGAGCGCATCCCTGAACTCCGGATCATCGAAACGCGATTGGTGTAAAAAAGACACGGGCCATCGGACCCGTGCCTTTGAAGTGGTTGTTGAGATGTTGATTAGAGTTCGAACTCGAGGTCTTCTTTGATGCCATCGAGTGCGGCTTCGAGCTTCTCTGGAGTGTCGTAGGTGCCCGCGTCGATTTCTTGACGCACGCGATTGATCAACTCCGTCCGCTCTGCCGGACCGGTTTTGAGTTCCGAGAGGTATCTCGCGACGCTGGAAAACTCGACCTGATCCTGGGATCGGGACGGCGCACTCCGCGTATCGTGAGTAGCCGCGTCAGATCGCGCGATCTGCTCGGAACGGACGCGCCCAATACGCTGGGATCGTCCGGTGTTGATCGGGGAAATATCACTCATGAGGATTGCCTCCGTTACTGCCTGCCTGCTTGTGTCCTTCACAGTGCCCACCACTTGGACACCACTACATGTTGTTGTTCGAGGGAGTGTTCCACCAACCCTCTGTCCCTGTATCGACGACCACTTGAGTGGAAGAACACAAAAGGGTAAAAATCGTGAATTCGATCGAATCTCCTATCAGACAACAGCTTACAGAGTATAACACAACAATGGACCGACGAAAAATATTCCAGCACCGTAACAACGATTCACAAATCCCCCGTCACAAGCGGGTTTTCTGTTTGTTCGGTAGTCGCGCACTCTTTGCTCATCATCCAAATTGGTCACTCGCAACGCTGTCATTTTTCATGTGTTCGCTGTTCGCGATCTCCGGATGCGGCATGTGGAAGTCCAACAAGAGCGACGATCGCACAATCGACAAAGAAGAAGCACAAGCCGTGTTCAGCGAAGATGGTGCGCTCATTATCCCTGAAACTGGGGATGAAGAAACCCAATGGTCCATCATCCTCGTCACACTCCCGAACCCTCAGCTCGCGCCAGACATCCTTCAGACGGTGCAATCTCGGCACGGCTTGGTCAGCGCGTATTCGACCACTCGACAGGGGAAATCGGTGATCGCGTACGGGCGTTACGCCGGCCCAGATGATCGCCGAGCACTTGTGGATCTCGATCGTGTGCGCGATATCGAGTACGACGGCTCAAGACCATTCGCCGCGGCGTACCTCGCGCCACCTCCAGCGGATGCACTCGGAGGATCGAATCGCGAGTACGATCTCCGCACAGTCAAAGAACGATTTGGGCCGCTGGCGTTGTACACGCTCCAGATTGGCGTCTACGGCAGCAACGGGAATGAGACTCCAAGTGCTAGTGAAATCAAGGAGATACGACAGGCAGCAGAACGAGCGGTCTTAGATTTGCGAAGCGATGGAGAACGATCGTTCTATTATCACGCGCCGCTCAGGAGTATTGTCACGATCGGCGTGTTTGGTGAGGATGACTTCGATGGATCAACCACGCCCGCGATCGAATCTATGCGACTGCGCGAGCTCCGCAAACGATTCCCGCATAACTTGCTCAATGGACAAGGGATACGCGAGACGATCACCTCATCAACAGGACAGCGCGTCACGCGTTTGCAGCCGTCGAGTTTGGTTGGGATTCCTGAGAAGTAATCTGATCAAGCCGACTGCATCATCCGCTCGGATTGCTGATGCCTTGGATCCAGACGGGCTCGATGTGCACGGCTTCCCAGTCGTTAGATTCCGTGCTGGCGCGCTCCCAGTGGATCATCCACCAACTCGATCCGATCGGCGCTTGCGAGCTCTGAGCGCGGACTTTGACCATCGTGCGTCCCACGCGTGGTCCAGGAAGATCGACACGGATCTCTGGGATCGAATAGCTCTCAACAACACGAGGCACACGCGAAGACGCGACCTCGACAACTTGGTCTCGCCCGCTCGGACTCGTAAATCGGGTCTCGACCACCACATCCTCGCTCAAGAGCGGCTTCATCGTGAATCCATCCCCAGTCGCGACGGCATCAACCAACGACTCTGCTTTAAGCGAAAGTACTTCGCGATCGGTCGTGACGAGTGTGCTTGTCAGGAACAGCACTCCGCTGAGCACGATCGCGACAGCGAACGCGATCAAGCCGGTCTTTGCTTGTCCTCGCGTGTTCATTCCTAGAAGCACGAGTAATCCAAGGACAACCAATCCGACGATCGCGAGGAGTGAATCCTCAAACAGCGCGTGCATCAACGGATCGGGCGGCTCGATCATCGGCAGATTGGTGGGTTCAAAGAGCGGCGATTGCATTGGTGTCCCCTGAGTAGATCGTGCTGGTCGTCTCGTTCTACCAACATGTACGTGTTCCGACGCAGCTTGGATCAGATTCTCGCGCGTCGGAGCCATGAGCAGATGATTTGTCCCAAAGTCTGGGGAGTTTGGTGCCAAAGTCCCGATAACTCAGTGGTCTAGCCATCATGTGTGGTGGATCGCAGAGCACAGAGTTTCAGAGACGGATCGGAGTCCGATGCACGAGTTTGAATCGATCCACAAGCAGAACAAACCAGTGGTGTCGCTTACGCCGAGCATGGAGATCCTTGAGCGGAACCTCCGCGCGATCGGGATCCGCTCTCCTCGCGCCGCTCGCGCGATCATGAACGCATCGCCGAGGGAAGACATCGAGTTCATCCAGACGAACGATGGACAACTCGCGGCGAAACTCGACGGGCGTGCGATGTGCTCGCAGCGCCAGCCGATCAACGAAGCACAGACCTGGTCTAAGCAGCACGATCCCAAGGACAATGGTTTCTACGGCATCATCGGATTTGGTCTCGGACATCACCTGCACGCGATGCACGAGCAGCATCGTCAGCATTCTGTGCTGCTGTGCTTTGAGCCGGATGTATCACTGCTCAGAGCCGTGCTCGAGCACATCGATCATTCGGAGTGGATCAGCAAGTCCATGTTGCTGATCACAACTGAAGCGAACGACGGCGCGGGACTCTCGCAGCTCATTTCCGGCGCGGAGGTCTTTCTGTCGACTGGTGTCGAGATCGTGTTTCATCCAGCATCCAAGAAGCGACTGGAAACAGAAGCCTCTGCTTTCTCTAAGACCTTCATCGAGATCGTCAAAGCAACACGAACGCATCTGGTGACCGTGCTCGCACATGCGGGAGTGACGCTCCGCAATATCCTAATGAACACACCGCACTACGCGTGTAATCCTGGGATTACCAAACTCAAAGACTCGTGCAAGGGATCAACCGCGATTCTGATCGCAGCGGGACCATCGCTCCAGCGCAACCTGGCGCTTCTCGAAGATCCGGAGATCCGAGAGCGAGCCGTGATCATCGCGGTGCAGACGATGCTCAAACCGTTGCTCGAGCGCGGGATCAAGCCCCACTTTGTCACGGCTCTGGACCACCACGAGATCAGCAAGCGCTTCTACGAGGGACTTACTGCGGACGATGTCGAGGGTGTGCGTTTGGTTGTCGAGCCCAAAGCAAACGCCGCGATCTTTGAGACTTTCCCTGGAGAGATCCTGTGCACCGCTGAACCACAACTCGATGCGCTGCTCGGAGACGAGTTGAGTCACGACATGGGAGAACTCTCGGCAGGAGCGACGGTCGCGCATCTCAACTACTACCTCGCGCGATACCTCGGATGCAACAACATCATCCTGATTGGACAGGACCTCGGATTCACCGATGGTCAGTATTATGCCGCGGGCGCTTCGATCCATCAAGTGTGGTCGGGAGAGCTCTCAGAACATCGAACGCTGGAGATGTTCGAGTGGGAACGCATCGCGCGGATGAAATCGTTGCTCCGCACGCGCCAGGACATCACGGGAAGGACGATCTTCACCGATGAACAAATGTCCACCTACATTGCGCAGTTCGAGAGTGATTTCCAGAATGACACGCACGACGACCCATCGCTCCGCATCATCAACGCAACGCAAGGCGGTGTACACATCCAGCACACCGAGGTCATGACACTCTCAGATGCACTCATACAGTTTGTGAACGATCAGCATGTCACCATTCCTGAAACAAGTGATCATCCGTACATCGATGACCAGCGAGCGATCAAGCTCCGCGCTCGGATCGATCTGGTGCAGCGACAGCTCGCGTCAATCGAGCGTTCGAGCAACAAAACCATCTCGCTGATCGAACAGACGCTGGAGCACATCGATGATCCGAAAAAGGTTGACAAACTGATCTCGCAGATCCACACGATCCGCGATGATGTGACTGCGAGCGAACCGGGATTCGGATTCGTAAACTTCATCAACCAGAAGGGCGGGCTCGACCGGTTTAAGGTCGATCGTCAGATCGCGCTGCTCAGTGATCTCACACCAACACAGCATCAGTCCAAGCAACTGGAGCGCGACGCGAACAATGTTCGTTGGGTAGAAGATTCCTCTAAGCAGGTCCGCTCACTGATTGAGCGCGTCTCGCAAGTGATCGAGGGGAGCGCGGCTCCGATGACACGCGACGAGTTTGCGGATGAAGAGCCAACACACGCCGTGCAGGTTCAATCAAGACGACGCGTGGAAGCGTTTATCTTTGTTGATCCCGATGTAGGTCCGCTCGGGAATCCACGCAATATCGATCAGCCAATCTTCCAAGACCTCAACGCGCTGGAACTGACGATCAAACGACTCAACCAATGCGAGTCACTTGATGGGATCACGATCATCACCACAGATCCGCGGCGGATCGAATCGATGTCGATCCAATACCAACTCCCAGTGCGTGTGATCGGAGCGGACGCGGACCAGCTCCGCTCCCGAACGACAAGTATCGGCAAAGCACGCCACGCATCGAGCGAATGCTGGCGCGGCTCGATCGGAGCGTTCGGTTGTTACGACGAGGGAGTCGATCCGATCGCTTTGCTGAGTGTTATGCAAGAACACCAGATCGACGCGGCGGCGATCGTCGGATCGGACTGGGCGATGGTCGACCCCAAACTCGTCGATCGCATCGTCAAGCGTCATCGCGCCGATCCAGAGCGATGCCGAATCCCGTTCTCCCATGCGGTTCCAGGGATCGGATGCGCCGTGATTGACCGCGAAGCCGTGGGTTCGCTCGTGCACGCAACACAGAACGCGAGCGTGCTCAGTTCCATCGGCGCGATGCTGAGCTACATCCCTGTGGCGCCGCAGGGAGATCCGATCGCGTCACCGCTGTGTGTCAATGTTGATCCATTTGTGCGTGATGCCGGGGTTCGTGTCGTCGCGGATTCGACGATCCGCGTCCAGTCCATGGCCGCGGCGTATCGCGGACTCGGAGACTACGCGATGAGCGCCGACGCGACGGTCCTGCTCAAGGCATATAAAGCGGAACTCGAACAACGAAGCACGAAGGCGCCGAGCCGGATCCATCTCGAACTCACAAGCGAGACCACGCTCGGTGGACATTGGTCGGAACTTCTCGGAGAACACAGTTCACACGCGATCGATCCGAGCGATGTGGTCAAACTCCTGAGCGATGCACGCGTACTGCGTGATGATTGCAGCGTGCTGCTGAGTGGCCGAGGTGATCCGCTGAACCATCCACGCGCGATCGAGATCATGCAAGAGATCACGCAACTCGGGATCGTCTCGACCGAACTTCGCACGCAGTTGTCATGCTCAGATTTTGATCCACAATCGATCGTAAACGCCGGAATCGATGTGCTGAGCGTCGATGTCCTCGCGAACACCCCAAGCGTGTATAAGACGATGACCGGCACAGATCGATTCGATTCGATCCTTGACACGATGCAGCAGTTGTTCAATGCTCGGAGCAAGTCAGCGCTCCCAACCCCTTGGATCGTGCCTCGCATCACGCGCTGCGATGCGACCTATGAAGACATCCAAGGCTTCTACGACCGCTGGCTCACCGTCTGCGGCTGCGCGATCATCGATCCAACCCCGCCAAATCCAAACACAAGCACCAACGATCGGATCCAACCACTCCCGATCCCTGAGCCCCGCGCAACGCAACTCGCAAACTCCACGCTCCGCATCCAAGCGGATGGACAGGTCATGGATCATCTTGGGAGAGCAGTCCCGAACACCAACGCGATCGAGATCGGGATCGAAGCGTCGTACGCGAACCTGCTCTCGCACACAAAAGAGCACAACGCATCACACATCGAACCCAAACCCACAACGGCGGTGAGCAGCGTATGAACGAGCAATCCGCAACCGCGATCATCCTGGCGCGAGGGGGCTCGAAGGGACTCCCAGGCAAGAACCACACGATCGTCGCGGGACAGCCGTGCGTGCAGTGGTCCATCGATGCAGCGAAACAAGCCGAGAGTGTCTCGCGGATCGTCGTGTCCTCTGATTCTGATGAAGTCCTCACGATCGCATCGGCGACCGGATGCACCATCGTCGATCGTCCGAGCGATCTGGCGCACGATACCGCGACCGTCGACAGCGCCGCGAGACACGCGTACGAATCGATCGGGTCGCCCGATGGCCCGCTCGTGATCCTGTATGCCAATGTCCCTGTGCGTCCGGATTGGTTGATTGATGAAGCCGTGCGTTTGCTGGTGAAGTCCGAGTGCGATTCTGTTCAGTCCTACGCACGCGTCGGGAAGCATCATCCGTGGTGGACCATCAAGCTCAACGAGGACGGGAGCGTGCTTCCCTGGGAGGGTGACACGCTGTACCACAACTGTTTCCGCAGGCAGGACCTCCCCGCCGCGAGTGTTCCCGATGGCGGGGTGATCGCGCTGACTCCCGAGGCGCTCATGTGCACGCTTGGCGCGCCAGACGGTCCCCACGCGTTCCTCGGCAATGATCGGCGCGGCATCCAGACCATCGAGGGCGATGTCATCGACATCGATTCGCGCATCGACCTGCTCGTCGCCGACGCGATCCTGAAAGAAAGAGTGGCTCATGCGCATCGGTAATCGTGAGATTGGGATCAACCACCGACCCTACATCATCGCGGAGATCGGCGTCAACCACGACGGTGATGTCGAGCGGGCGTTGGAGCTCACCGACGCCGCCGCGGACGCGAACGCTGATGCGATCAAGCTCCAGTTCTTCGAGACCGATCGCTTGATGAGCAAAGCCGCAAAGCTCGCCGCGTATCAAAAAAATGCAGGCGAAACCGATCCGATCGAGATGCTCCGCAGACTCGAGCTCACCATCGACGAGATGGCACGCGTCGTCGAGCGAGCGCACAGCAAGAACATCCACGCGATCGTAACGGTGTTCAGTACCGAGCTGGTCGAGGTCGCCGAGACGCTTCCCTGGGACGCGTATAAAACCGCGAGTCCGGACATTGTGAACAAGCCGCTGCTCGAAGCGTTGATGCAGACCGGGAAGCCGATGATTGTGAGCACCGGCGCGAGCACAATGGACGAAGTAGTGCAAGCTGTTAATTGGCTCGAACCCGCACGCGATCGACTCGCGGTGTTGCAGTGCGTGAGTTCGTATCCAGCCCCAGAAAGCGCAGTAGGTGGGGTGAGAGCTTTGCGAATACAGTTTGATTTACCTGTTGGATATAGCGACCACACTCGAGAAAACGCGCAGGGTTTTTGGGCGGTAATTGCCGGCGCATCTGTAATAGAGAAACATTTTACAGATGATTGTAAAAGAGCTGGCCCAGATCATGCAGCCTCGTTGCATTGGTCACAACTGAAAAACTATTGCGAGAATGCACGGTCCGGCGTCATAGAAAGGGATGGTTACGAACTTGTAATCCAATCGCCTTACTCTGCTGATGGCACTGAAACAGTTGAAGATTACGGAGATCTTCCGGATCATTTGTTTGACAAGCTTAACTGTGAAGATCATGGCGCACATGGTGCAAGCCTGGCTATAGAAACACCTACCGAAAAACGCGTCCTCGACTGCGAGCAAGATGTCCGCACCGTCTCGCGCCAATCCGTCGTTTCTGCCCAAGACATCCCCGCCAACACCACCATCACCCGCGACATGCTCACCATCAAACGACCAGGCACCGGCATCCTCGCTTGCAACCTCGAATCGGTCATCGGATGCACAACATCGCAATCCATCGAGTCGGATATCCCGATCCAGGAAACCGATCTGGTTCAGTTCGAGCCCTTGCTCGCGAGCGTGTAGCGCTGATACATCGCTTCAAGCGCCGAAGGAATCACGCGTACCTCACCCACTGCTGTGATGAAGTTCGTGTCCCCGCTCCAGCGCGGGATGACATGCACATGCAGGTGACTCGGGACCCCTGCACCTCCGGCGCGTCCCTGATTAATCCCGATGTTCAATCCCTGCGGCTCAAGCGCCCGCTGCGCCAGCTCCGTCGCGCGATCGACAAGCTTCCACAGCTCAATGCGCTGCTTTGGTTCATAATCCAATAGCGTTGGCCGCGCATCTCCCAGCGCGATGAGCAGGTGACCGTTCGCGTAGGGGTACTTGTTGAGCAGGATCATGCCGTGCTCTGTGCGCTCAATAACATGATGCTGTTCGTCAAGCTCCGGCGCGTTCCAGTAGTCGAGCAGGAAGCTCCCGCTCTCTGTCCCAGCAGGTGGACCTTTACCGGACGCGTTCTTGGGACCATCGTCCTCCGATAACGACTCGATATACGCCAATCGCCAAGGCGCCCAGATCGCAGACGGCCCAAACCCTACACCTTCACCCCCTGTTTGGTTATCGCTCATACCACAGTGTAGCGTCCCATCCGCAGCACCGATCTACTGCACATGTCCGCACTGATCGTCCGCGATGTCATGTCCGCTCCAATCGAGACCATCTCGATGGACGATACCGTGGACAAAATCCAGAGGATCTTCGAGAGCTCCCACTATCACCACCTCATCGTGCACGGCGATCACAAGAAAGCCGTGGGAGTGATCTCCGATCGAGACCTGCTCAAGAATGTCTCGCCGTTCATCGGGAAAATGGGTGAGCGCAACGCGGATCGATCCCTGCTCAATCGCAGAGCACACCAGATCATGACGCGTCAGCTCATCGCTGTTCGCGAGAACACCGCTCTGAGATCCGCGGCGAGGGTAATGCTCGACCATCGCATCTCATGTCTCCCAGTCGTTGATCTGGAGGGACATTGCATCGGAATCGTCACTCTCCGCGACATCGTCCGCTGGGCCGTGGACGAACTGGAAATCCCGCATTCGGGTCCAGGCGCACAGGCCGCGTGACCAAAGTTGAGAAATTATATAATCGCGCAAATCAATGTTTCAAATACACTTATGGCTCATGCGGACCTGCTCCGTCTGAATAATTCCAGCGATTTCTGGCATATGCGCCGCTATGTGGTCTATTTGAACTGGTAGGAAATCGGGCTTCACGGCCCATTGGGGATCGAAAGATCTCCGAGAGATGTTTGAAACGCCTTGGGTAGCGCTCAAGGCGTTTCATTCTTTTTAGGACAGCTCAATCTAGCGGATCGCGTCCTCGTACACACCCTCAAGCGCCTCGATCATCGCATCAGTGCTGAACATCTGCTCGCACATCACACGCCCGTGGTGTCCAACCAGTCGTCGCTGCTCAGGATGAGTGTGCATCCATCGGATTGCTTTGCGGATCCCATCGGAGTCTCCGACGCGCACCAATAACCCTGTGCCGTGCTCCGGATTGGCGCGTGCATCGAGACACACCTCAGGGGTTCCATCCGTATCGCTCGCGACCACCGGGACTCCGCACAGCAGCGCCTGCGGCACTGTCCTGGGAAGTCCCTCGCGATAACTCGGATGCAGCAGCACATCCATCGCGCGCATCATCGCCGCGACGCGAGGTTGTGCGACGAGTCCCGTATGCACGACCTGATCTTGCAATCCCATCTCACGCACGCGATCCATGAGCCGATCCGTCCACCAGCCGTTCCCGACCCAGAGTAGTTTCCAGCTTGGATTGTTCCGCAGATCATCACCCAGTCCATCGAGGATGTCGTCGTGACCTTTGTGCTGCGCTAATCGAGCGACTGTTCCGATCACGAAGTCGTCTTCGCTGAATCCGAGCTCGTGGCGCATCGAGTCACGATCCTCGTTGGGGAGTGGGTTGGTGTATTGCTGAGTGTCCATCCCGGAGCGCACCGTGATGTACTGGTTCTTCTTCCCGATTCTGCGATCGAGGAACTGCTCTGTCATCGCATCTGCGACGGATGCGATGATCTGACAGCGCTTCGCCGCGAATCGTTCCGCGAGCGTGTAGATCCAGTTCTTGAACCCGACCTTGAGTTTGTTCAGGATTGACCCCTCGATCGGCATGAACGGCGGACCATGAATCGTGTGCACCACCGCGACGGGCTTGCCCGCATTCTTCATGTACTTCCACGCCGCCCATCGTCCCAGGATCCCCGCTTTGGACGAGTGCGTATGCACGACATCGGGACGAACCGATTTCATCAAGTTCTTGAGATCATCATGGAAACAGAAGTGGTCCTTGATCGGATGGATCTCGCGCACCATATTGGGGAGTTCGTGCATCACCACCTCGCTCGCGAGATCGGATTCTTCACCAGAGCGCACACGCTCATTAAATCGCTCGATCGTCTTGCGATGCGATCCCTCTGGACCAAAGATCGGTCCGAACGCGAGATGCACCTCGTGACCCAACCGGGACTGCCCCATGCAAGAGAGGACCGTGTTCTCTTGGGATCCGCCGAGGATCAATCGCGTTGAGATGTGGAGGATGACCTTGTTCATCGGATTACCCTTTAGATCATCGTATCCCAGGTGCGCCGTCTTTCGTCATCCGATGGACGATCGTCCGCACGCCGTAGTACAGATCGGACTCTCCGACCTCCTGAAATCCAGCTTTAAGGAGCACACGCCTTGATGGCAGATTCTCTTCGTAGCACACGGCGACAAGCTCATCGACTCCGAGTGTATCGAAGCCGTATGCCGCTGATGCACGCGCGATCTCTGTCGCGTACCCCTTGCCCCAGTGGTCCTTCCCCAGCCGATACCCAAGCTCGATCTCGGGACCATCGAACTCGATCGGGACCAGTCCCCCTTGACCGATGATCGATCCCGAGGCTCTTTCGATGATCGTCCAGAAGGTCATGCCGTGCTCTTGCTGTGTTCGCATCGCGCGCTGCAGGCGCTCCTCGATCTGTGCGCGTGTCCAGACACCTCCCGCGCCGATGTACTTCATCGTTTCGGGATCGCTCCACAGTTCATGCAGCGCACCGCAATCATCCATGCTTGGAACTAAAAGCAGCAGCCGATCGGTCTGGATCACGATGTCGCGTGTACTCATATTGATCTTCTCCACTCAGATATGGTCCTGATTTACCAGACGGCTAGAAGTCCTATAAGTCAGCGTTTGGGGTACGAAATCTTCAATTCGACCACCAGTATAAAAACCAACATTGAACCGAGCACGAAGGAGGGGTACTTTACCACCTGTTCGCCGGAGATCGTGTGATTCCGGACATCCCCAGTGAGATCGGGGATCTATTCCGAACGACGAGAGAGAAATCGAAAGAGAGAGATCATCATGAAACCATTCGTACTCGCGCTCGCCGCGGCGTCTATCGCTTCGGTCGCGACCGCTGACACGCTGGACTTCTCCGACCTATCCCACGGCGAGGTGCTCGCTGAGCAGTACGCCGGTCTTGGTGTCCACATTTCCGCAATCAATCCCAACCGCGCCCACGACATCGCGATGGTGTTTGACACCAATCTCAGCAACACCGCTGATCCCGATCTGGAAAACCCATTCGATTCAGGAAACACAGACCTGAACACCAATCTCGGGAACATCATGATCCTGCAAGAGAACGACTTCGGCGTCCCAGACGACGAGGGCAACCGTCCTGCAGGTCAGCTCATCATCGATTTTGATATGAGCATCGCTTCATTTGGTTTCCATGTCGTTGACCTGGAGAGCGAAGTTGCAGAGAACAGCAGCCTTGAGTTCTACATGGACAACGCGCTGGTCGAAACAGTCGATTTCGCTGAGTTCCTCGCAGGCGGAACCCGCGATAACGGCGTTGTCTACGGCAACAACTCCATCAACCTCATCGAAGAGTTCACCGTCGCAGGCGGTTACGACCGCGTGGTCATCAACCTCGGCGGTTCGATGGGCTTCGACAACATCAACTACACCGTCCCAGCTCCGGGTGCTCTCGCACTCTTCGGGATGGGCGCTGCAATGGGTGTGCGTCGTCGCCGATGATACTGATTCAGCAGTATCCAAAAACAATAAAGCCCGCATCGATCATTCGGTGCGGGCTTTCGTTTTTATGCACATCAAAGTTCAGTTGGTCTCGCCGATGATCATCGCGGCACCGACCGTGTTGTTGGTCTGCTCGTCCACGATAATGAAGCTCCCCGTCGCTCGGCACTGACGATATGGATCAAAGAATAATGGCTTCGTCATCCGAAACGACACGCGTCCAATCTCGTTGAGCTTCAGATCCGTTGCGTCCTCGATGCGATGGAGCGTCTCGATATCCATGCGATAGCGCAGATCCTTGACAACACAGCGTGCCTCGTTGCTCGTATGACGGATCGTGTATTTCTTCCCCACAACCATCGGCTGATCCGCCATCCACACGACCATCGCATCGATGTTCTGACCACTGATCGGTTGGTTGTTGGGACGACAGATCATGTCGCCACGCGAGACATCGATATCCGTCTCAAGCTGGATCGAAACACTCTGGGGCGGACTCGCGAACTGCTGCTCGACGCCTCCGATATCGATCGACTTGATCTTGCTCTCCATCCCCGATGGGAGCGCGACGACCTCGTCGCCGACCTGGAACACGCCGGATGCGACCTGTCCGCCGTAGCCGCGATAGTCGTGGTGCTCGTCGCCCTGTGGACGGATCACCCACTGCACAGGGAAGCGCGGATCGATCATGTCGCGATCACCCGCGATGTGCACGTTCTCAAGATGGTGCAGCAGCGATGGTCCCTGATACCAGTCCATCTTCTCTGAGCGATTGACGACGTTGTCACCTGTCAGCGCGCTCATCGGGATGAAGGTGATGTCGTTGATCTCAAAGCGAGCCGCGAACTCTTCGAAGTCCGTGCGGATCTTCTCGTAGGTTTCCTGCGACCAGTCCACGAGGTCCATCTTGTTGACACACACCACAAGGTGCGGGATGCGCAGCAAGCTGGTGATAAACGAGTGGCGACGCGATTGTTCGATCACGCCGTGGCGCGCGTCGATCAGAATAAGAGCAAGGTTCGCCGTCGATGCGCCCGTGACCATGTTGCGTGTGTACTGCACGTGTCCGGGACAGTCCGCGATGATGAACTTGCGTTTGGGGGTCGCGAAGTAGCGGTACGCGACGTCGATCGTGATCCCCTGTTCACGCTCGGCGCGAAGGCCGTCGGTCAGCAGCGCCAGATCCATCCGCTGATCACCACGCGAGAGCGACGCACTCTCCGCGGCTTCGAGCTGATCCTCAAAGATCGACTTGGAGTCATACAGCAATCGACCGATCAGCGTTGATTTACCGTCATCCACACTGCCGCAGGTCAAGAACCGCAGCAGGTCCATATCGAGGTACGCATCGGTCGAGAACTCCATGCCCTGATTGGCATTGGTGCTCGTGGACAGATCAGATTGTGTCGTTTCAGGGCTCATGCTTTAGAAGTACCCTTCCTTCTTGCGATCTTCCATCGCGGCTTCATTGGTCTTGTCATCCATCCGCGCCCCGCGTTCGCTCGCACGCGCCGCCGCGACTTCCGCGACGATGTCCTCGAGTGTCGATGCGGGAGAGTCCGTCGCCGCCGTGCAGCTCATGTCCCCCACTGTGCGGAAGCGGACCGTGCGCCGGACCGGTTCTTCCCCCTCGCGAGCGCCGAACGGTGCGTCACCGACAGGGACGAGCTGCCCCATCCGTGTCACGACATCGCGCTCGTGCGAGAAGTACAACGCCGGTATCTCGATGTTCTCGAGCATGATGTACTGCCAGACGTCCATCTCTGTCCAGTTGGAGATCGGGAACACGCGGATGTTCTCGCCCATCTGGTGTCTGCCGTTGTACAGGTTCCAGAGCTCAGGGCGCTGGTTCTTGGGATCCCACTGTCCGAAGTCGTCGCGGAACGAGAAGATGCGTTCTTTCGCGCGTGCCTTCTCTTCGTCGCGCCGAGCGCCGCCGAACAGCGCATCGAATCGGTACGTCTCGATCGCATCAAGCAACGTCGGGATCTGCGCCCGATTTCGCGATGGATACGGCCCAGGGTCCTCGCTCGCGATCCCCTTATCAATCAGGTCCTGCACCTTGTGCACAATCAGGCGCTCTCCGAGCTTCTCGACGAGCTGGTCGCGGAAGTCGAGTGCTTCAGGGAAGTTGTGTCCCGTGTCGATGTGCAGCAGCGGGAACGGGAACTTCGCGGGACGGAACGCCTTCATCGCGAGGTGGACCATGACGATGGAGTCTTTGCCCCCTGAGAACATCAGCGCGGGACGCTCAAACTGAGCCGCGACCTCGCGCATGATGTGGATCGCCTCGGCCTCGAGCGCCTTGAGGTGGGTCAGCTTGTAATGTGCATTGCTGTCTAGGGTTTGGGTCATGCCCAAGGCCTCCGCCCGCTTGAAAGTACCGTTCTTGCCTGAAAGAAGCCCTATCGGCGATCGAATCTGCTCGCTCACGCAAAGAACCACGATTTGAGTCAATAAACAGCCGAAGTATAGACCTCAGAGCGGTTTGGGCACCCAATTTATCCAGACCAACACCATCGCCGCATATCCTCAACCATTCAGCGCCCACGCACCAAGGAACCCACTCCGTGCCCGAGACCAACCCCAAATCCGACAACATCACCTGGCACCACAGCCAGATCGGTCCAGATGATCGCGCCAAAGTCCTCGGACACCGCGGATGCACCCTCTGGCTCACCGGCTTGTCGGGATCAGGGAAGTCCACGATCGCCGTCGCTCTCGAGCACGCGCTGATCAATCGCGGATGCCTCGCGTATCGACTCGACGGCGACAACGTCCGTCACGGCCTCAACTCAAACCTCGGATTCTCCGCCGACGACCGCAAAGAAAACATCCGTCGGATCGGAGAAGTCGCCAAGCTCTTCGCGGATTCCGGAGTCATCACGATCTCCAGCTTCATCTCTCCCTATCAAGCGGATCGCGATCTGGTCCGCGCGATCCACGAGCAATCGAATCTCTCGTTTCTCGAGGTGTTCATCAACACGCCGCTGGAAATCTGCGAATCCCGCGATCCCAAGGGTCTCTACAAAAAAGCACGCGCCGGCGAGATCAAAGGATTCACAGGGATCGACGATCCCTACGAAGCACCAACCAATCCTGAGATCGATCTGAAAACCGATGAACTCTCACCCGATCAAGCCGCGGATCAACTGATCGACGCGTTGGTGACCCATAGAATCCTGCAGCCCCGAACCCAAGGGAAGGATTCTGACTCATGATTGATCACGCCCGCTACGCCGCTGCCGGACGCGAAGCTGTTATCGCCGCCTCGATTGTCTGCCGTGAAGTGCAGGACAATCTCGACAAAGTCTGCGCAATGACCAAAGACGACAAGTCCCCTGTCACCATCGCGGATCTCGCGTCCCAAGCAATCGTCGGGATGATCCTCAAACAAAAACTCGGCGAGGACCTCCACCTTGTCGCCGAAGAAGACTCCGCGTTCCTGAGAGACGAGGACAACACTGTGTACCTCGACGCGACCCTCGCCGCAGTCAAAGGCGTTTGGCCCGAAGCGACAGAGCAGAAACTCCTCGACGCGATCGATCTGGGCGCCGGAGACACCGACCACCACTCCTTCTGGACGCTCGATCCAATCGACGGCACAAAGGGATTCCTCCGCAACCAGCAGTACGCTGTAGCGCTCGGATTCGTCGAGAAAGACACCCCAACCATCGGGATCATGGGATGCCCCAACCTCCCGATCGACCTCTCCCAGCCGTTCGATGAGCGCGATCCCAAGGGATGCTTGTACATGGCGATCCAAGGCGACGGCGTCTACGAGTCCTGCTGCGATGATGTCAAAGCCGAGACCATCCGTATCACCCGACTCGACCATGTCGAAGGCGAAGAGATCTCCGTCTGCGCTTCCGTCGAGAAAGCACACACCGACATGAGCGCGACCGATCGGATTCTTCAATGGATCGAAGAGCAAGAACTCGGACATGCGGGAGAACCAGCGCGTCTCGATTCCCAGTGCAAGTACGCCGTCGTTGCTCGTGGACAAGCCGACGCGTACCTCCGCCTCCCATCACGAAAGCCGTATGTCGAGCGGATCTGGGACCACGCCGCCGGCGCGTGCATCGCATCCGAATCCGGTGCGTTCGTCACGGATATCTTCGGCAGAAACCTCGATTTCTCGCATGGAAGAGGGCTCGAAAAGAACAAAGGCATCGTCTGTGCCCCCCCTCGCATCCACGGCATCCTCCTGCGTGCGATCAAGGAACTCGGAATCGGGCAAGAATAATCACCCCGAATCGCCGATGATCTCCATACATGGTTGAATCCTGGGAACCCATCCTGACCGGAGTCCTCATCGTACTGATGATCGGGACCATGGCGCTGGGGCGATTCGGCGCCGACCTCGTGATGATGGGAGCGCTGCTCGTCCTCCTGATCACCGGCGTCCTCGAACCCCAAGAAGCGATCAACGGCTTCGCCAACCAAGCCGTGATCACCGTCGCGATGCTCTACATCGTCGCGACCGCGATGCGCGAAACAGGCGCGATGGCGCGGATCACCGCGATCGTGCTGGGAAGACCCAAGTCCGAGCGCAGCGCGCAGATGAAACTCGCGATCCCAGTTGCCGCGATGAGCGCGTTCGTCAACAACACACCGATCGTCGCGATGTTCCTCCCGACACTCTCGACCGTCGCGCGCCGCTGCTCGTTCTCCCCTTCCAAACTCTACATGCCGCTCTCGTTCGCTTCGATCCTTGGAGGAGTCTGCACACTCATCGGAACCTCGACCAATGTCGTGGTCGCCAAACTCCTCAGCGACGAACACATCATCGGACCATCGGGAGAAGAACTCGGTTTCTCCATGTTCACCCTCGCAAAGGTCGGACTCCCCATCGCGATCATTGGGATTCTCTACATCATCTTCTTCGGACGCAAACTCCTTCCCGATCGCGTGACCCCGATCCAGGACGCGGAAACACACGACGAGGGATACCACGCGGCGCTGCGTGTCGAACCCAACTCCCCAATCGTCGGCAAGTCCGTCGAAGACGCGGACCTGCGTGACCTGCCCGGACTCTTCCTCGCGCGCATCGAGCGCGAGAGCACCACACTCGTCGCCGTGTCTCCACAAGAAATCATCAACGAACGCGATGTCCTTGTGTTTGTAGGTCAGATCGATTCCGTCGTCGATCTCCAGCAGATCAAAGGCCTCGTTCCTTCCACGCTCCCGAGCTCCGATGAATCCATCGACGCAAGCGAGGACCCCCACTATCGACCCAACCTCACGATCTCCGAAGCCGTCGTCGCGAACAACTCATCGCTCGTCGGACTCACCATCAAAGAATCCGGCATCCGTACGCGCTACGGCGCCGTTGTCGTCGCTGTGCGCCGTCAAGGTCAACGCCTGACCGGCAAGCTGGGTGACATCCGACTCCGCGCCGGAGACACGCTCCTGCTCGAAGCGCCTCCGGGATTTGGCGATCGATTCATGACCTCAGGAGATTTCTATCTGGTCAATGAGCGCATCACCCCCGCCGCGCTGCGTCACGAGCGTGCTTGGGTTGCCCTCGCTGTGCTCGCGTTGCTGATCACGATTCTCAGTTTCGGTGTGCTCGATCCGATGACGGGATCCATGCTCGCCGCGGGATTGATGATCCTCACGCGCTGCTGCACAGGACCCCAAGCACGCCGAGGTGTGGACTTCCAGATCCTCGTCGTCATCGGAGCCGCGTTCGGGATCGGTGCCGCGATGACCAAAACCGGACTCGCCGCAGACATCGCCCACACCATCACGCAAGCCGTCTCGATCATGGGACCTTGGGGATTGCTCGCGTCGATCTATGTGCTGACCTCAATCTTCACCGCAACGATGACCAACAACGCCGCCGCGGTCCTGATGTTCCCGATCGCGCTCGCCGTCGCCGCTGAGCAGCAGCTCAATCCGATGCCGTTCGTTGTTGCGATCACTGTCGCCGCGAGCTGTGAGTTCTCGACCCCGATCGGTTATCAGACCAACCTCATGGTCATGGGTCCCGGCGGATACAAATGGACCGATTACACACGCTTCGGACTCCCGCTCTCAATCCTCTGTGGGATAGTCTGTGTACTCCTCGCGCCGTTCGCTTTTGGTGGGTTCTAAGCGACCTTTCCAGCAGAGCAGTCCATAGATTGCCGATGACACTACAATGGACGAACCAGCCAGTGGTTCGCTCGTAATTCGTGAAACAATCCGAGCAGTTCTCAGGTTGTCCGTCGGTCTCATTTCTGAACATTGATTCTCATTCCACAGTCATCGGTAGGAACCAGCCATGAAAATCCTCATCACAGGCGGCAGCGGCTTCATCGCCGAATACTTCCACCGAGACCTCTCCGCGCTCGGACACGAGCTGGTTACGCTCGATCTCATCGAGCCGACCCCTGGGACTCCGTCAGCGAACGCCGCGTACATCAAAGGCGATATCCGTGACCCCAAAGCGCTCGACGATGCAATGCAAGGCGTCGATCTCGTCGTCAACCTCGCCGCGGCGCACCACGACTTCGGGATCGCGCACGACACCTACTACTCCGTCAATGAGCACGGCTCACAAATGGTCTGCGATGCAATGGACCGCGCCGGGATCAAAAACCTCATTTTTTACTCCACCGTCGCGACCTACGGCGACGCGCCCCCACCACACCACGAAGAAGCACCAACACAACCCAACTCTCCCTACGGCGGATCCAAACTCAAAGGCGAAGCCGTCTTCAACAACTGGGTCAACAAAGGAGATGGACGCAACGCGCTCATCATCCGCCCAACAGTTACCTTTGGTGTCCACAACTTCGCGAACATGTACTCGCTCATCCGTCAGATCGATTCAGGCAAGTACGCGCGATTCGGTCCCGGCGTGAACATCAAATCCCTCAGCTATGTCGAGAACATCGTCGACGCGACCCTCTTCCTCGCCGGACTCAAAGAAGACAAACCGAACCGCGAGATCGCGAGCTTCGAGATCTTCAACTTCATCGATAAACCCGATCTCACCAGTACCGAGATCTCCGATCATGTCAGCAAGTGTCTCGGAAAGAAACCCGCACCAGCGCTCCCCTACTTCGTCGGGATGCTCTTGGGACTCCCATTCGATGTCGTCATCAAGCTAACCGGAAAGAACCTCCCGATCTCGACAGCGCGCGTCAAGAAGATGTTCAAAACCCAGACCAAGTTCGAAGCCGACAAGCTACTCTCCACAGGATACACCCCAAAGGTCGAGCTCAAAGAGGGCATCAACCGAATGGTCCAGTGGTACATGGAATCGGGAAAGAACGAGAACGCGGAATGGCACCAACCCCCTGCCGACCCTGTGATGCGCGACTGATTTGATTCAATCAAATACAAAAGACACGCGTGCGAGAGCCGCGTGTCTTTCTGTGTAAAGAGAGAATGTTGTATCTGCTTATCGACGACGGCGAGTGCCGACCATACCAGCCATGCCCAAGAGTGCAAACGCAGATGGTGCCGGAACTGCTCTCGTGATTGACAGATTATCGATCCCGATCGTGTGGTCAGTAAACCCAAAGAAGAACCCAGGCTGGAATGTCGTAAACGCGATCTCATCGACGCCCGAGAGCACATCCGAGAAACTCACGCCGTCCGGAAGTGTTGGCTCGAAGGTCATCGGATCCTCAGCGCCGTATCCGCCCCATCCAGATGGGAGATCGATCGCATTAGGATCAAAGGTCACAGAGTATGTCGACCAATCAGAGTTATTCGCTTGCGACACATTGTCAAAGAGGAACCACACCGAGTTGTAAGGATACCCGTTGGTGGCGCCATCAACATCGCGGAGTTCGACGAGCCAAGGACGAGAAACATCCTGACCGAAGAAGTTCAAGTAATCGACTCGGATATCCATCGAGATTGTGATCTCATCCGCAGTTGTATAGTCGCCGAGGAATGCGCTGTTGGTGGTGTTGCTGAATGTGATTCCAAAGTTGTTGAAGACCGTTTGCATGTAAGCGCCATCGTTGCCACCAGAGCCTTCAATGGTTGTTGCTCCACCAGGACCAGATGGACCTACCCATCCATCAGCACCGCTACTGAAATCAGTCGTGACGGTGTCGCCTGCAAACGCCAATCCGGCGCATGCACTCAGCACGAGCGCCATCCCGTTTGTCATCTTTGTTGACATGTCTTTCTCCCATTCTGACCAGATATGGTCTTTTCCGCTTAGCTGCAATCAATCCTGACGCAACTGAAGTTTGATATACAGACCAGCCTCCTGAACTGGTCCACATGAGCTATCCAGGGCTCGCCAGCGTTCACAAAACACACAAGCCAGCAACCCCTCCACAAACCCATACTACCGACCCAGGAACCTGTTGCAAGGAAGTTTCAGGGAAACTTCAAAGAAATTTCGTGCACTCTCCCAAATTCGCGTGTATACTCCAGATATGCCCGATTTGGGGCTCAAAAATATGATCAGATCAGCCCGGACTCTTCACGATGACTCAGACAGATGCCCAAACCTCGACCACGGCTCCCCAGACAATGGGGACGCTCGAGGTCCGCATCAACGCCGCCGGAGAGGACCTGCTCAAGGGACTCACGACCGTGCTGGGACAGATCCCCGCGACCGATGCGGGGCCGCAGCAACTCGCCAAAGAACTCGGGATCGACAAGGTCCTCGCGTCCCGCATCCTCAAAGCGCTCCGCGCTCCGGACCCCATGTCCGTCGTCCATCGCGTGCCGGGTCCCGAACCGATGCGCCGTTTGCTTAAAGCAACTTCTAAGCTCGGCGTCAAGCCGGAAGACCTCATCAACGCCAACTCCGCCGTCGATCGCTTCGAGTCGCTCATCCGATCCGAGATCGGCGATCGCAGCGCCCTCGATGCGATCCTGAGTGCTTGGGTCCCTGAAGCGCGAAGAGAGTTCGAGCTGCGCCGCAAGCAAGCCGCGTTCCGCGCGATGTCCCAGCTCAAAGGCGCGCAAGCGGATGTTTACGCCGAAGCCGCGATCTTCTATCCGAGTCCCGACAACGAGCACATTGATATCGTCTGGATCAAAGCCGTGATCGGACTGCATCGACTGCGTCCAGGAGTGGTGGTTAAGTTCACCAGCCATCGTCAGATCGAGGATCAATCAGGACGCAAGACCTACACCCTCGCAGGCGATCCTGTGGATTCCGTCACCAGCGCCACGCTGGAGAAATACTGCTCAACCCCAACCCCAGTGCTCAATGTCCATCATGCCGGGGAGCTGATGCACTACACACTCCAGGAAAACTGCTTCGGCGCATCGAGCTCGATCGACCTCGTCACCTGCGAAGTCAACCGCGCCGAGATCCCCCGCTACATCCCAGATGAGCGCAATCGCAAAGCGTGGGCATCAAGCGACATCAACATCCCTTCCAAGCGCATGCAGTTCGATGTCCTTGTCCATAAAGATCTCTACAACCGATCCTTCCCAGAACTCCGCATATACGACACCACAATCAACGGCCAAGCAGATATCAACGATCCTTCGCGCGATGTAGATCAGCTCGACCTACTCGAATCCATCGAAAACCTCGGAGAAGGACTCAGCCGATTCGGATCATCGCTCGTCCCGAACTATCGCAAGATGATCGAAGAGGTCTGCACAACACTTAACTTCGACGCATCCACACTCCGCGGCTACCGCTGTGCCGCGGACTACCCCATCTACGGCTCACAAACCGCGATGATCTTCTCCACACAAGATCGCAAATAAATCGTTACGAGTTGCTCGCGAGATAGTCGTCGAGGAACTCACCAACAGGGCGCCAAGTAAACGAACTCAGCAGGTTATCAAATCGCTGATCGCACACATCGAGATTGTTGTAGTGACGGAATCGATGCGAACGCTTCAGCCCATCCACCCTCGGCTGTCCCGGATCGACCTCCCAAGGATGGATATAAAAAACATAAGGCATCCCTGAGTTCAAAATCCGCTTCACGCCGCGCTTGAACATCCAGTAAGGGAACAAGCGGAAGTATCCGCCGCCCGCCCAAGGGACACCCTTCTTCCCAACCTTGAGCACACTCACGCACACCTCATGGAACCCATCGCGGATTTCAACGATCGGTTTCCCAGAGTCCATCCCCGCGAGCTTGCCGTAGCGATCGTGCGCCACCGTTGGGAACGCGGAGCTGTCGTAGGTCAGCCCCAGCTCTTGCAAGATATCGATCGCCCAATCCGTGATGGAGAACGAAGGAGCGCGATACCCACGGATCTTCGCGCCAGTCAGGTCCTCAACAATCCCGATCCCGCGCTTCATATCCTCGCGGAACTCGTCGTGCGAAAGATTGTAAATCAGATCGTGCCCATATCCATGCGAGGCGATCTCGTGTCCTGCGTCGGAAATCCGCTTGATGAGCTCCGGACATTTCTCCGCGACCCATCCGAGGATGAAGCATGTGCACTTGACGCCGTGCTGATCCATGAGCTCAAGCATCCGATCCGTGTTGCGTTCAACACGCAGCTCCTGCTCATCCCAGGTATCACGCTCGATGACGCCTTTGAGGTTCTCGACCTGAAACCAATCCTCGACATCGATCGACATCGCGGCTTGGGTCGTTTCAAACTTTGATGGACTGCTGGGCGCCATTCAGATCATCCTATGACCGCGCTTGCGGAACTGCTTGACATCTTTAGGTTGCGGGAAGCTGAAGTACTTCTTCTCGCTCATATCCAACGGCGTCGCGACCGCTTCGCCGTTCTTGAGCTGCAGTAGCACCTTCATCATTAGACGAGCACCGTCTTGCTTTGTTCCTGTGATGACCCGATCCAGCGAGTCATGCTCTTTGAGTTCCCACTCGAGCGTGTCGAGGATCCCCCCTGCATCGAGCTTCTCGACCATCTCATGCACCGTAACGCACGCGCTCTTCTCGCCGTGCAAGAGCTGCCAAAAATTGGGCATCATCCCGCGATAGATCGGTAAGCGTCCCGAGTGGATATTGATGCAGCGGACCTTGGGAACCGCGAGGATGTCCTTCTTGAAAATCTCAGGACCCGCGACCGAAGCGATCACATCGACCTCAAGATCCTTGAGCTTCTGGATATACGCCGGATCATTGACCGATCCGCACTCAACGATCGGCAGTCCCTTGTCTTTCGCGAGCTTGACGATCGAATCGCCGCGGAGTTTGACCTTGAAGTATCGCGCGAGCAATCGGAAGAAATCGATCGGTCCATAGAAACGGAAAATCCGTTTCGCGGTTTTCCATTTGGGTTCGTGGAATGCTTCCTGAACGCTCACGCCGACGATCTCGATCTCGTCGCTCGGATATTCATCAAAGAACACCTCGAAAAACTTGATCACATACAACGGATCGTCTTCCGTCACAAAGACCAGCTTGAGTTTGCGATCGCCGATACCTTCATGACTGCTCACGACCCACCCCCATTCATGCCTTCACCATTGGGTTCTGCAACGACCGCGGCTCCTCCAGCGAGCCACTTCGCAAGCTTCTCGCGCCGATTCGCTGTCGCGACCGCTGTTTCGTCAGGATCCGCGAGCTTCAAGACCTCCGCATACTTCGCGGCACACACCTGTCGCGTGTACCCCTTCTCGAACACCTTGCGAGCGTTCGCGCCCATCTCGGCAGTCTTCTGCTTGTCGTGAATCAACACACGCAACTGCTCCGCGAGTCCCTCCGCGTCTCCCAGCGCCGACCAGATCCCGCACCCACTCCGCTCAACAACACGCCGAAGCTCGGACCAATCCTCAGACAATGCGACAATCGCTTTCCCCACAGCGAGCGATGTGTATAGCTTGCTCGGGAAACTGATCCCCTCGATCCCCTTCGCGATTGTCACAAGCGACGCATCGCACGCATTCAGAGATTCATTCAGCATCTCGAACGGCTGGTACGGCATCAGCTTCACATTGTGCAGACCACGCTCCTTGACCTGCGCCTCGATCTTCTTGCGCTTCCCGCCCCCACCAACAAGGACCAACTTGAACGGCTCATCGAGCAGCAGCTCCGCGGCATCCAGCACCGTATCAAAGTCGTAATACAACCCCATATTCCCGGAGTACAACAGCACAAAGTCATCCACAAACCCGTTGTCGATCGCGATCGTTGACTCTTCTTTGGGTTTGGGGAACAGGTCTTCGCCATCCGCCCAGTTCGGGATGACATGGATCCGATCGGGACGGATCGGATAGGTCTCCGCGACCAGTTTCTTCGCCGCCTTGCACAACACAATCGCTTCACGCGACCGCTTGTACTTCCGACGATTCAGCGCCATCCACACGCGATAGATAAACGACCCTTTCTTGAAGGTCCCGACCCAAGCGCCAAGCTGCGGATGCGCATCATGCAGGAGCGTCACATAATGATGACTGCGGAACAAGGACACAAACCAACCGATCGTCCCAAGGAACGGCGGATTGGTCGTGTACAGATACACCGTGTCCCGACGTGATCCGAACAACACCGAAAGAATCATCGGGACCACAAAGGTCAGGTAGTTGAACGCCCGTCCTGGGAGGAAGTTCTTATCAAACCGCGCCACGCGCAAGCGATGGATCTTCACGCCATCCACAGTCTCGCGGAGCGGACAATCCTGCCAAGTATCCGGCGGACCATAACTCGGTCGACCGGTCAACACCTCGACCTCGAACCCAAGCTTCACGAGCTCAACCGCGAGTTCATGCAGCAGGTGTCCCGTCGATGCGACATCCGGGACATAGTACTGATTCAGGATCACAACCTTCGTCTTTTTCGATGAATCGCCCGACTCAGCCATGATGCTCCCCAGCGCACACCGCTTCTGCCTCAGGCTCACCAAAGGTCTCACGCAGACGATCTCCCAACCACGCGATCAGCTTGTTCTTCTCATCACGCAAGAACCCAAGATCCACGCGTTGGGGCTCATCCTTGATCCGATCCAGACCAAGGCGCTTGAGCAGATACGCGCGAGGTGAGCGTGTGAACAACATCGCCGGATTGCCGTACGCAACCGTCGCGACGCACGCGTGCACACGATTGGAAATCGTCAGATCCGCGTTCGCATAGATATTCAAGTACGAATACGGCACATCACCCGAGTACACCATCGGAGCGCGGTAGTTCTTCTTCATCAAGAACGGGTTGTAGCGATGATCCGTCCGCACCACAAGTTTCCCATCCACACGAGCGGGACCACCATTGAGTCCGAGCAAGCAGTCGAGGAAGATGAACGCGCGATGTTTGTAGCACATCTCTGTTCGCCACTTTGGATGCCGAACATCCCAAGTCGTTCCCTCAAAGTCGAACGACCGATCCACACGACCACTGAACTGCTCACGCGGAGATATCGCAGGCTCAGGAATCTGATCAAAGTTCATCGCGATATACGGCTCAAGATCACTCGGGATCTTCGGGAATAGATCCGACACGAAGGTTGCGACATCCACGCCGTCAAACGCAAACTCCGCGAGATCACCAAGCGCGTCGTAAGTCTCAGTATCACGCGAGGTGAAGATATGAGGAGGACAGTCCTTCATCAGACTCCGGCTCAGATCAATCGTTCCAGAGTCATACTGCATCATCCCCGCCGCGAGGACCATGATCTTCGCGCCCTTCTCATGCTGAGTGCGAATCAGATCCGAAACGATGTTCGTCATCTCCGGACGCACATACGGCCCAAGAATCACGAGCGCATCCATGTCGAGATGCTTCGCGTAATCAATCGAGTTCGGAGGATTCCCCTTCGAGGTGTTGTAGTACCCCGCTTGATCTCCGATCGGGAACACATGAGCCCCTGGATATGCCTGCTCGATCGCGTAGACCGCTCCGAGCTGGAAAAACGCGTTCCCGATATTGGTCGACCAGTATCCGGTCAGCACACCGATTCTCGGACGCTTTGCAGGGACTAGGACTGGATCTTGTATGTCGTTGCTCATCAGTGTGATGCTCCGAAAAAAGCCGTATCTGGAGACCGTCTATCGGTTGATTGATCCTATCGCATTCCAAGAGATCCAAAGATCACGCCAATCCTAGAACTTCGTAGTCGCCAATCTCGTAATCACTGTCAATGTTGGGTCAATCCTGCCTCAATTTCTGTGTTTGAGCATGACCAGTTCACGGCCGCCTTGTTTCATCGATAGTCTTCTCTCTGAATTGACCAATCTTGCCGACCAGCGACCTGTATTCGTCCGATGGAATCTGGATCAGCCGGATCGACAAAAAACGACACGCAATCGGACGAAAGGCCCGATAAATAGACCGATAAAGACCCAGATACTCATTCAAGAGCATGAACGAAGAGCAGCAGACCATCATTGAACCCCCACGCAAATCGCCTTGGACACTCAAACAGCGCCTTGTCCGCGCGATGTGGGGAATCTGTGAACTCGTGCTCTGGAAGCTCAGCCCAACCCCTTGTCACCGATTCCGTGCGTCGTTGCTCAGGATATTTGGTGCCAAGATCGGAAAGCGGGTCAAGATCCACCCCTCCGTCAAGGTCGTCATTCCATGGCACATCACCATCGGGGATCATGTCACGATCAACGAACGCGCCATCCTCTACGCGCTCGGAGACATCACCATCGGAGACCACTCCGAGATCGGTCCGCTCTCGCATATCTGTGCCGGGACCCACGACTACACCGATCCAAAGTTCACGCTCTTGCGTCAACCGATCACCATCGGAGACCACTGCATCCTCTGTGCGTCTTCGTTCGTTGCTCCTGGAGTCACACTCTCATCGAGGACCTTCCTCCATCCAAGAGCCGCGTTGTACACGGATTCAGAGCCCGGCGCTCAGTACCAAGGCAATCCCGCCAAACGCGTTGAAGCGCCCAAGCAAGATCATGAAGTCCAGCAGGAGCTCGTCTCCTGATGACCACGCTCTGCACAACCCTGACCCCTGCTTTGCACGCAACACGCGAAAAGAACGCTCCGCGTCGTCCGAGTGCCATGCATCGTCTCGGATGGTCACTCATATCGAGCACCATATTCCCATTCATTCCAAGCCCTGCATATAAAGTCCGCCGAGTCATTCTCCGTGCGTTCGGTGCCAAACTCGACCCCCACGCACGAATCCGAGGCGGCGTCCGCATCTCCCACCCCTGGAACCTCACGATCGGACGCAAAAGCTCCATCGGAGAAGGGACCATCGTCTACAACCCCGCGCCGCTCACAATCGGAGACCGTTCCGTCGTCAGCCAGTACTGCTATCTCCAATGCATCGCGCACGACGAGAACAACGCAGAAAATCCACAGCACCCCGCACCAATCAACATCGGAGACGATGTCTGGATCGCGACCGAGTGCGTGATCGAAGCAATCGCGCCCATCCCAAACGGTTTGCTCGTTGGCGCTCGATCCGTGCTCACGAGCACCAACAACCCCGATCCAGATATCCAGCCGTGGACCATCGCGACCGGACACCCCGCTCGCTCGCGCCGTCCGCGTCCATACAAGGGGCCAAAGTCATGACGGCCCCAACTCAACAACCCACCCCCAAGCCCACTCCAAGCCCGCACACCACGAAGAACAAACTCATGCGTGTGCTCTGGTCAGTTGTCCAATCGACCCTCTTCCGATTCAGCCCGCGCCCGATGCACGCGTGGAGGAACATGCTCCTCCGCATGTTCGGCGCTGATTTGCACCCCTCGGCGCGTGTCTATCCACGAGCAACCATCTGGGCGCCGTGGAATCTCACAATGGGCGCTCGCGCCACGATCGCCGACGATGTCGACTGCTACTGCGTCAAGCGCATCACACTCGAAGAACGCGTCATCGTCTCGCAGTACTCCTACCTCTGCGGCGCGACGCATGATTTCGAACTCGCCGACCGACCGCTCATCCCGATGCCGATCACCATCGGGAAAGGAACATGGATCGCAGCGGATGTGTTCGTTGCACCAGGAGTGAATATCGGAGAGGAATCCGTCGTCGGCGCGCGATCAAGCGTGTTCACCGATCTTCCGTCATGGAAAGTCTGCGTCGGATCCCCCGCCAAACCGATCCGAGATCGTGTCATGAAAGACGCGACGCAATCCAGCACCCAGCCAATCAATGAGGAGACCAACCAATGAGTGTCTCCATCTTCATCCAAACCCTCAACGAGGAAGACAGTCTCCCAGGACTCCTCGAATCCGTCGCGTTCTCCGATGACATCGTGGTCCTCGACTCACTCTCGACCGATCGCACGCGTGAGATTTCCGAAGCCGCCGGCGCTCGCTGGTTCGAGCGTGCCTACGACGGCCGTGGAAATCACCAGAACTGGGCCATGGACAACATCGACTTCAAACACCAGTGGGTGTTCTATCTTGACGCTGACGAACGCATGACCCCAGAACTGAGAGCAGAAATCGAATCCATCATCACCGACTGGGATTCAGGCAAAAAATCCAGAGAGAACAACGACCCCGTCGCGTACTACTGCGGCCGCAAGAACATCTTCAAAGGACGCTGGCTCAAGCACGCCATGCCGCCCGGGAACATCATGCGATTCTTCCAGCCCCCCCACATCCGCTTTGCGCGTGATGCCAACCCCGTCCCCACTGTTGACGGCTCCATCGGATACCTCAAACAACACTTCATCCACTACAACTTCTCCAAAGGCATGCGCGAATGGATCGAGCGACACAACCGCTACTCGACCTACGAAGCGAACGAGACCGTCAAAGCACTCCAAGAGAATCCCGTCAAACTCGGGAATCTCCTTTCCTCTGATCGCAACACAAGAAGACTCGAGCTCAAGAACATCTCGTTCCGCATGCCGATGCGTCCACTCCTCAAGTTCCTCTACATGTATTTCCTCGGACGCGGATTCCTCGATGGGCGCGCCGGATGGACCTACTGCAAACTCCAAGCAATGTACGAATATATGATCGTTCTGAAAGTTCGAGAACTCAAACGCCCAGACCTCGTCGCCGCGGATCAAGGAAAGCACGATTAATGGAATCCACAACAGATCCAATCCGTAAAGAGGATCCGATCAAGATTCTCCATTTCCTCCCCGCGATGAGACTCGAAGACGGCGGGGTCGTCAAAGCCGTCCTCGATCTCTGCACCATGGCGCAGGACCATCACCAGGTCGGACTCGCAACCTTTGACGATTCAGGTGTCCCAGCCGCGTGGAAAGACCCCAACACGCAAACAACGCGAGTGCACCTCATCGAAGGTTCTCCAAATCGTGGGATGAAACCAAACCCTCAACAACTCCAGCAGCTCGAACAGCTTATCAAACAATACGATGTCGTCCACCTCCACACGATGTGGACTCAAGCAAACCCCCAGCTCGTCAATCTCTGCACCAAACTCAACACCCCCTACCTCCTCAGTGTCCACGGCATGCTCGATGATTGGTGCATGTCCCAGCGCAAACTCAAAAAAATCCTCTACATGAAAACCGCAGCACGCAATCTCCTGCGCGACGCTGCTGTGATCCACTGCACCGCGCAAGCGGAACTCGACCAAGCCTCCGCCTGGTTCGATCCAAGGAAAGGCCGAGTCGTCCCGCTCCCATTCGATCTGAGCGAGTACGAGAACATGCCGAGCGAAGACCTCGCGTACAACGCGTTCGATCAGCTCGACCGATCCAAACCCAAAGTCCTCTTCCTCAGCAGAATCCACTACAAAAAAGGCGTCGATCGTCTCATCAAAGCATCCGCGATCCTCCAACAACAAGGCGTCGATCACCAACTCGTCATCGCGGGAACAGGTGACGAGGACTATGTCCAACAAATGAAAGAACTCGCTGTGCAGGAAGGGACTCAGGCGCACACCTACTTCCTCGGATTCGCATCGGGACAGGAGAAGATCGCGCTGCTCGGAGCGTGCGAGACATTCGCACTCCCAACAAGCCAGGAAAACTTCGGATTCGTATTCTTCGAGTCCCTCGCCGCTGGGACTTTCGTCGTCACCACCAAAGGCACAGACACTTGGCCCGAGATCGAGAGCTCCCAAGCCGGCGCGATCGTGGACAACACTCCGGAAGCATTCGCTCAGAAACTCAAAGAAGTCCTCTCCGATCCGGAGACCTACAACGCGCGAGCACAACAAGGAAGGGAATGGGCATTCAAAGAAATGAGCATGCCCAGCACCCAAGCGAAATACACAGATCTTTACCGCTCCATCGTCGCTGATGCGAAAGGATCCAAACGATGAGCGCCGATCCAAACAAGCCAAAAGACCAGAAACCCAAGGTCGCCGTGGTCTACCAGTACTTCGCGCACTACAGACAGCCCATCATCACCGAACTCATCAAGAGCCCGAACTATCACTACGAGTTCCTAGGAAACGATGACGATTTCGGTGCCGGGATCAAACTCGCGACTGATTTCGCGGACGATCGTTTCGTTCTGACCAAATGCTTCAAACGCAAGCGTTTCTTCCTCCAGTTCAAGCCGGTCTTCAGCGCCCTGGGATTCCGCTACAAAGCTCTCATCCTGCTCGGAAACCCCTACTGGCCCACCACCTGGCTCGCCGCGATCTTCGGAAGACTCCGAGGAAAGCGCGTCCTCTTCTGGTCCCACGGCTGGATCCGGAAAGACACAGGACTCAAAAGACTCCTCAGAAACACCTTCTTCAAACTCGCGCACGGCACACTCCTCTACGGACACCGCGCCAAAGTCATCGCGATCTCCGAAGGATTCAGTCCCGACAAGCTCCATGTCATCTACAACTCGCTCGATTGCACAGCACAAGACCAGGTCCGCAAACAACTCGGCCCAGACGATCGCAAGCAAACACGAGAGCGCCTCTTCCCAGGACGCAGCGAGCACCCCATCCTCATCAACATCACACGACTCAACCCGTTCAAGAAACTCGACATGCTCATCAGAGCCGCGAAACAACTCGAAGATCGCGGACAACCCGTCAATATCCTCATCGTCGGAGACGGCGAACACAAACAAGCACTCGAACAACTCGCCGATGAACTCGGAATCCACGCCGTCTTCACCGGAGCACTCTACGAAGAACACGAGCTCGGACAGATGCTCAACGCATCAGACTGCGCCGTCATGCCCGGACCGATCGGACTCCTTGTCATGCACGCCCTCGCCTACGGCGTCCCTTTGATCTCAAACGACAACTACGACCGACAGATGCCTGAAATCGAAGCGATCCTTCCAGGATCCACAGGAGAACTGTTCGAGAACGATGACCTGGACTCGCTCACCAATTCCATCCAACGCATGATCGATCAACCACTCTCTTACGAACAACGATACGCGAAAGCGCGTGAGATCATCGAGCGCTTCTACAACCCATTCAACCAACGCAAGATCATCGACCGCGCCGTAGACGGCCAACCAGCCGACGACCGATTCAACGCTTGGCTCCCCCCCTACACAGAGGAACAAGCATGCTGAGCACACTCAAAAACAAACTCCGTTCCGTCCAAGGCATCCGCATGGCGTACCGCAAAGGGATCATGGCCTACCGCCGTAAACGCTACGGGCTCAAAAATCTCCACCCAACCTTCTACAGCTGCGATTGCAGTGAGTTCAGCAAGGACCTCGTCGCGCATCCATACTCATACTGCGCTAAACGATGCCTCATCTGTCCAAAGGTCGAACTCGGCGCGTATGTCATGCTCGGACCTCGTGTCATGATCGTCGGAGACGATCACCGATTCGACATCCCAGGCACCCCAACAATCTTCTCAGGCAGACCAAAGAAACAGCACACACTCATTGATACCGACGCATGGATCGGTGCCGGATCAATCATCCTGAGCGGAGTCACAGTCGGACGCGGCGCGATTGTCGCCGCAGGCGCTGTGGTCACCAAGGATGTCCCACCCTATGAGATCCATGCAGGAGTTCCCGCGAAGAAGATCGCGGAGCGATTCACCGATCCAGAAGAACGCGCTCTTCACGACGCGATGCTGGACGAGCCACCAAAGCCACGCGAGTATTGCATGCCCGTGGAAACAAAGAGCGACTGATAGATCGCAGAGCCAGAGAGAATCGGAAGTCAAGCCGGCTCAGCTTGCCCGTACTCTTCCCAGTCTTCATCGCCGTACTCGTCGGCATACTCCTCATACTCGTTGTCGTACAGATCCTCGTATCCATACGCCTGAGCGTCGAGCACCGATCTCGTGTACACCTTCGAGATGATCATGAACACATAAAATGGGAGCGGGATAATCAAGAACGATCCCTGCTTCATCGCGATCATTGTCGTGTAACCCGCCATCGCGAGCAAGATCGCGACCGCGCTGCGATCAACAGCACCCGCCAATCCAGCACGCAACAACTGCAGCGCGTGGTACGCTGTGATCAAGAAGATCAGCGATAGCAATGTAAACCCAATCAAGCCGTGATGTGTAAGCACCTCGATGACCAGGTTGTGCGGATAGATAAATCCATCGCCATCATGCGGCACGATCGCGTTGAAGGACCCAACCCCAAGGCCCTGCAGATAGTTCGCAGGATTCGAACCGTACGCATCGAGCATCGAGGTCGCAAAGAACACTCGTCCAGCGAACCCCTCACCAAGATCTTCCGCAGAGAAGCGTTGAGTAGCCTCGGATCCCGCGAGAAAGAACTTCGCAACGAGCAAGAGGATCATCCCCAGTGCGCCGAGGGAGAAAGCTCGAAGAAAGAACTGCTTCGCGTTCTTGATTTCGTGCGCCAGCGGGTAGCAGACGACCGCAAAGAATGCACAGAAGAATAACTGACCACGAGCCGCGACAAGGAACGCGATCGCGATCCCGAGCACGATCGATCCCGCACGCAGCGCACTGATCAGCAGGTTCTTTGAGTTCTGCTCCATCAGAGAAGCAAAGATCACCATCATCCCACCAAGCTCCCCAAGCGCGAGCGGATTCCCGCGCGAGTCGCTGCTCCCCACCGTGTAACTCAGGTCAATAAACAAACGGAATCCAAAGATCGTCGTACGCGGACTAATCAGGATCAAACAGATCAGCGCACACCCCACAAAAAGCAGGGGCACACACATCTTCGTGATCTGCTCTGTCGTGCACACCAACAACGGCAGGATCACCAGCATCAGAATGATGTACGGCGTTCCTGTCTTGAGAAAGTACCTCGCCGCCTCAGGCATCATGCTGTACGTCGCCCCAAAGAAGCAGAACAAATACAACCCAAAGATCAACGCCGTGTTGATATTCTTCATCCCACGGAATGGCTGTCGCCCCGCAAGAAACGAGGTCGCGACCGCGATGCCAGCAAATCCCGCCGCGGTGACATTAATAATCCATGATCTCCGCGCCAGCGCCGTCACAAACGAAGTGATCAACTGCTCATACGCAAGGAAGGTAAAGATCAGCACCATCGCCCAATGGGGTCTCAACAGAGACATCGCGCACATCAATCCGAAGATCAACAGCGCGATACCTGTGAGTGCGGCAACCATAAAGACAATCCATTGCACCAGCCAAGGCGCGATTCAAAACCAACCGCTCAAGGCACACGCCAAGAGCAGGACGAGATACTAAGGAGCCCGATCCCCGATTCGCACAAGCGATCGAAAACCAAAGTGATCCGAACCAGGCACCACAAAGCGCTCCCATGAGCGCACATCAGCACCACGATCTACCCAGATATCGTCGATTGTTACCCCCAATATCGACAGATTCGACGGAAATGTCCCCGACAAAGACATGACGCGAGATCCACGCGCAACCCCAAGCTCTGATCGCAGCATTCGGTCCCGATAACTCCCAGGACCCCCATTCAGATCACCAACGACCATTGTCGGTATTCCATCATCGCCGTGCACACGCAGCGACTCGATCATCCCGCGCACAACATCATTCCCACGCGTCCACTCCGATCCACCGCGCGGAGAAGGCACATGGATCCCCACCAAGCGAAACGCCCCACCATCCACCTCCGGCCTCTGGACGACACACGACACCCCCGCCAGCGGATTGAACCAGTCGTCCCTCTGGATTGGCCAACGACTCAGCACCACCATCGGAGACGCCTCGCGTTCAATCTTCCGCCTGATGATCCGATGCGGAAGCCACTGCAACCCATCATCCTCATCCAAAAACCGCCGGAACACATCCCATTGAGGTTCAACCAAAACCATCACATCCGCACCCGTTGTCCGAAGCATCGCAAGCACCTCATCAGGACGCTCGTTCGCCATATAGATATTCATCTCGACAACCAGCACCTCACCCAAGCCGACTTTGCCACTATTCGGTAGCCAGGTCCGACCACCTCCCAGCACAACAAGCATCATCAACGCCGCAAGCGTGCAGAGAGCCTCGACCCAACTCCGCCGGAGCAACAATCCGAATCCACAGAGCACCATCCCGATCGCAAAAACAAACCACCCCAAACTCACCGCAACATCCGCGATCCAGAATCTGCTCGATATCAGATACGCGCCCCACCACCCAAGCAACAAGACAATCAGCAGCAATCGGACAATCAATCCAAACCAGCCGCGTGAACGTTTCGATACATGTTGTGCTTCCAGCGCCTCGTCCATACCACTCCCATCGGACGATCTACTGCCCCCATCCCAGCGAGGTTCATGATCACTTCAAAAACACAGCGCACAAAAAAGACGGCCCGGTTTCCCGAGCCGTCTCAAATCAAGTCTCAAAGATCAACCTTACGGACGATCCTCACCCTGCTGACCGAAGATGATGGTCATGCCACCGCCCCCAGCCATGTCTTCAGAGTTGTAGATGTAGTCCGCATCGAGTGCCTTCTCAATCCGCACGCCGCACTCTTGCAAGTGCGCCATCGTGTACGCATCGAGTCGTCCGCCCGCGTCCATCGTCTCAGTGATCGACTCGCCAAGCTGACGCAGGTGCATCGAAGCGAGGGTCTTGACCGCCATAGAAGCGGAGTTGAATCCGCCGTTGTCCATCGACATGTCAATCAGACGATCCAGATGCTCACGCTGCAGGTTCCTACGAAGCGACGAAATCATCGGCTTGCGAGTCGTGTAACGACCGCTCGCACCGTCCTCAAGCTCAGACCACACCGAACCAGTCACCGACTCCATGAGCTCAGCAACTGTCAGCGCGTCCTCATCAGCAGGAACGAACATCTCATAGTCGTACACACGCTTGATCGTCTGCGGATTGAGCAGCATCGTCATCGCCGACGCCTGGATGCCCATCACGCGATCGTGAATCTCAAGCGCCGAGTCCGCCATGATGCCGCTGAAATCATCCCACCACTTGTCCACACTCGCATGCGCAAGCAGCTCAGGGGTGATGCCGTACGCATCATCCATAAACGCGTTCTCAATCACAAACTCCATCGCTGCACGCTGACGCTCCGCAGGAACGACCTCGATCGGAGCATCCGATCCCGGATCACCCTTCTTCGAGCGCGAGACATACGCCGAGCCGACCCAGTTGCCCATCATCGAGAGCGCCTGCATCTGTGTGCCCAGCGTAATCGAGTATCCTCGGCGGACACGCGACCACGATTCGCCGTCTTTCACAAACCCATCGATCAGATTCTCGCGGATGCCGCGGACCAGTTCCATCTGGTTGTTCGCAAAGTCGAGCGGGTTTTCCGCGAGGTCGTAACGACGAGCACGCGGATCAGGACCGAAGGTGTCCTCGTCCGTGCCGTAGTCGAGCAGCGGATCCGCTGATCGGCTCAAGACTTCCTTCAGATCACCGCTGCCGTAGCCGTACTCGATCGCCCATTGGTCGTACTCGCCGATACCGATCACCGAGTAGTCACCCTGAACATCACCACTGCCAGGCATCCGGATGTTGATCCCGTTGTAGTCCATCACCGAGGTCGACCAAGGACGCTTGCCCTTCATCTCTTCGGAGTTGATGTCCTCAAGCGAGTGAGCGCTCGAGCCCTTGAAGTTGTGACGCAGACCGATCGTGTGACCGACCTCGTGAGCGACCAACTCCGCGAGCATCGGACCGACGAACCATTCCGGAACGCCGTCGATCATGTCGCCTTCTTCTTGCTTCTCTTCAGCAGCTTCGCCGCCCTCGTCCGCCGCGTCGTCAGCGTCATCGCTATCGTCCGCCGCTTTCTCAAGCATCGCGAGGTGCTCCGCAGGAATCATGTCACGCAGTCCAGGATTCTCTTCGAGCTGCTTGCGGATCATCTCCAGCATCTCTTCGCTCATCTCAGGATCATCACCCATCGCCGAAGCGGTGTTGATCATCCCGACCATCGCGAGGTTCATCCGCATCATCGCAAGATCAAGCGCCTTGCCGGTCGCGGCGTGACACATTCCAGAAATCTGCGAAGCACGATTGGTCAAACCATCAAACTCATCGTCACCCATCAGCAGCGATGTGTCATTCGGCGCCGAGTGCTCGCAAGACAGCCCATGCATGCTCGCTTGAGCACGCTGAGTAAGAATCTCGTCACGAACCGTTGGTGTCGCAAGACGCAGACGCGGATCCCACTTCGGATTCCGCTCGAGCCACGCCATGGTCTCAGGACTCATGCCCTCAGTCGCGAGGTTGCTCAGCAGATCTTCCCAGCGGTAAGTGAACACGCGGATCCAGCCGTCAGTCAGGATGACATCCGCATCCAGGATCTCACCAGTCATCGGATTGACGCGTGATGGACCGATCGCAGTCGCGACATCGTTGCTGATCCAGCGGATGAAGTTGTATCGCACATCCTCAGGATCCTTGTCCATGTTCGCGCCAGTCGCTTTGTCTTGGTAACGAACCTCGATCGCGCCGTCGATTCCGATTTCACGGAACGCTTCGTTCCAGTACTCGATGCCCTGCTTGACATATCGGCGGTAACGGATCGGGACCGTGTGCTCGATGTAGTACACGATCGGTTCCTTCGGAGGACTCAGCTTGAGCTTCGGATCCGCCTTCTCGATGTGCCAGCGATTGATCAGACGCTGTGAAGTATCTGACCAATCAAACTTGCCGAGGTCTGTGTAGTTGGTCACGAAGTACCCAACACGCTCGTCCGCCGCGCGAGGCTTGAACCCACGCGAACCCTCGATCTTCGAGATCGAGTAGTGGAAGTTCTTCATCGTGCCGCCCGCGACCGGACCCTTGAACTCGATCTCGATGTTGTTCGGGAACGCCTTGACGGATTCGACCACAGTCAGCATCTTGTTGAGCCCGCTCGCCGAACGTCCAAAGAACTTGGTCGCCTGAGAAACGAGCAGACTGTCCAAATCAATCACCGGCTGACCAGTCGGTCCCATCGCCTCGATCGCTACATCAAGCAGCACGCGATCCGTCCAGATCATCTCAACAGAGTCACGCGACTCTTGATCACCCGACGAGCGCACCGCGATCTGAGGTTGCACAAGCATCAACCGCTTGCCGACCCGCTTCCATTGCGTGTACATATCGCCCGCCTGCAGACCCGCGAAGATCTCGCCGCCCGCGACCGTCATCGCAAAGAAGTGGTGCTGCTTGTCGTACCCACGAGGAAGCTCAGCGAGCACCTGATTGGTTTTCTTATTCAGATAGATGTTGTACAGCGAACTTCCATCAGCTGTCGAGACCACTTTCGTGAATCCCTTGGAAACATCTTTCCAGTCTTTAAACTCTTTGTCGGCGCCACCGCCGCCGCCCCCGGCTTGAGCCGCCATCGCCGCCATCGCCGCGAAGTCGATCGACTCCTCAGGAGTCGCCGTGATCGGCTCATCCGCCATCGCCATCGAAGATCCCGCGATCAGAGCACCCAGCCCGATCACCGAACCGACCACACCACTCGCCATTCGCAAGTTTGTCTTGAAGTTCGCACGCATCAAATCACACTCCGTTTACTGTTGGGCGAGCAATCCCGCCGAGTCCAAATCCATTTCGCGAGTCAGTGCAGTCACAAGTCGACCCAAAGCCGAATGCCACCAAGCCGTCCCAAGACAGCCCAGTGCCAATCGGCTTGCGCCGGCACTTCCTCGATCGGTATCGGTCGCAGAACGCGCCATACCAAACAACGCCTGTCGCCGGAGCGCACCTTGTGCGCCCAAAACCACGACTTCCCCTATACCGCCCGTAAACACGCAGGTTTCAGCGATATAGACCCAACCGTCATCAATTTCGTCATCAGTTCCCCACGCCTATCCCGCCAGCAACGCCGCCCCGATCGTCAGCCCCACAAAAGCCGCCCCTGAGACACGCACAACCGGATCCTTGATCGCCAGCTCCGTCGGATCGTCGTACCGCCCGTCCATAATCAGCGTGATCGTCCGCAGCAGCCCTAACATCGCCGGCAGCACCGTTGTCCACAGCAAGTTAAACGCGAAGTCCCCGCCCACCCCGCTCGCGAGCACCACCGACATATCAGCCTCTCTGCTCTGCACATAACCCGTGTATGTCAATAGAGTTGCGACGCCAACCACCACCACCATCATCCGCAGAATCTGATCCGAATACTTCTGCTGAACCCCTCGGATCGACGCGACATCCGCGTCCCCCATGACGCGCCGCTCGCCGAGCCGCTTCCCGAACGCGAGGAACATACTCAAGAACAGCGTCGCGTTGAGCAGCCAAGTCGAGGGGGTCACCGCCACCGCCGCACAACCACCCAAAACCCGGAGCACAAAACCCGTGGATAAGCTCAAAACATCCAGAATCACGACATGCTTGAGTAATGATGAATAGAGCGTCACATTCATCACATAAGCACACACAAGCCCAAATACCCACCATTTCACGGTTCCGATAACCAAGAAGCACAGTCCCATCCCCAATGCTTGAAGCATGGCTCCATAAATCACCGCCTGTTTCGGAGTAATCCGTCCCGATGCAATCGGTCTTTTGCATTTGCGAGGATGCAATCGATCCCGCTCCACATCCGCCAGATCGTTAAACACATAACAACCCGAGGCCGCGAAGCAGAACGCAAAGAACGCCAGCGCGAGCGTCAAAACCAGCCTGGTATCGACCGATTCACGTGAGATTGTTCCATCCATGATCGCAAACGCAGGTCCCACGAGCACAAACACACCCTTCACCCACTGGTGAGGACGCGCCAGTTTCGCCAAACCTCCAACAACCCCACCGTGTGAGGAAGTCCCTGTCTGAGATGGATCACCCGATTCGCTCATCAACCCTCCGCATCGACACAACGACCCACAACCCTCAAGTGTTCATCAAACATCAACACGCTTTACACCCCAATCCAGCGTCCATCTTCACAAGCTCGGCATGAATCGCCGAAAATCACTACACCATGAGTGTACCAGAACACCAGTCCCCATCGCCGTCATTCCGCCCCGCATCCATGTGGTGCATGCTCTTCACGCTCGGCGCGCTCCTGCTCATCGCTTGGCCCATCATCCTCTCAGGAAACACCTCAGGACGCGGCGCCTACGACGACCTCAAATACCAT